TGCCCGTGCTGTCCGCGAACTCCTTCCCGCTGACGAGCGCCAGGGCGACATGCAGCTGGGCTCCAGGGGAGCTACAGAAGGTTCAAGAGTGGTCCCCTCCAGTCACAGTGCTCCCCTCCTTTACACCGCCCCCACCCCCCTCACCTTGCAGATCCAACCCCGGGTATCCCGCAGCGAGCTCTTGAGCAGCACGTTGGAAGGCTTGAGGTCTGTGACGGGGGTTGCGGGTGTTGATGGGGAGAGGGGGAAAGGGGGGGTTTCAGGACACGGAAGTGGGCGGGTGGGCGGTTTCATTCCCCTGGGGACATTCCCCTGGGGGACATGGAGGCCACGGTCCTCCGTTTCTTAGACGAGGACTATCAGACGGTGATTCTCCTCCTGCTCCTGCTCCTGCTCCTCCTCCGTATCATCATCAACAGGATTTCCTCATTCCAGACACGTCAGCACTATTCGGGTTCAGAGGTAGGTTTCAGGTACATACACGAGCACGCACACACGCACACACGCACATTCTCATATATACGTATGTATATATGGACATGTACATCCACAACATACGCATTTACGCCCGTACCGCAGTGCACAAGCCGCCTGCCGTGTAAGTGCCGTAACGCCAGCGCCACCTCCAGCAGGCTCGTGTAGAGGGGGACCAGCGCAGGACAGGCCGGGCCGCTCTTGGCACTCACGCCGGGAAGTCGGAACGCCCCTCCTTCGGCCACCGACTTAAGTGTTCCGGCTGGTGGCCACCGAGGGGGGCAGACACACACCCTCAGCCACCACCGCATCGTTGTCATGTTTTAAAAATCTTTTATCTTTTATCATTTTGGGATATTCCCGGAGGCAGTTTCTCATTATCTCTCCCCCTCTCCCTCTCCCTACCGCTGGCCACCGCTGTTAGCACAGCTGCACACAACCACAATGGCCCCGCAAACAGTCCCCAACAGCAGCAGCACATCGATTGTACCCACCATCGCAAAACTCCATGCACATCACTGTGTTGACCGGACCCCTTTGACTGCCGTACTGCTGTAGCGCCTCACTATCCGCTGGCAGCAGCTTTAGACGATTGGCCTGATTAGCGTACTGCACTACGACGCAATCGGTGAAGTAGCCGTACATCTGCGATTGGCGGGCATGTTTGAAAAAGTGGTTGGAAGGTGGATTACAGACTAGAGAGCGTAAGTTCAAACCGTGGCCGAAGAAAGTTGGCGCAAGTTGGTCCACAGCAGCCTACAACTCAACAGTCCGGCCACTGTACGGTGTATCGTACCTGTACGATGTTCGGATGACTAATGGTGGTCGTCACGGCAAGTTCCAAAGCGTCGCGCAGCAAGTTGCGCTTGCGTTCCCGCATCCGTGCCTCATCCACGACCATGGGCGACTCCAGGGTCCGCGGGGGGGTCCCAGCCGCGGCCGCCGCCGCCGCCGCCGCCGACTTGGCATTCGCAGCCCCCTCGGCATCCTCCCTATGACTAATCACCTTGATCGCCGCCTCAATGCCGTGGACCATGCCCCGGAAAACTACTCCCTGTCATAGTGTGGAGTTAGCGGTTGTCGCCTTGTTGTCGGTTTTCGGTTGGCAGTTAATAAGAGGGAAACGTGCATCAGCGTGTCCTCCATGGCTTTCTGGTGTTTTCCAGAATAAAAAACCTTGTCCGTTAAAAACGTTTTTCGCACTCTCATATGCCTGAAATGCCGTGCGAAAGCACCTTTCGCCTTCCGAGAGCAGTTTACTGTTATGACGGTTAAACCATAATCAGTTGCGATCACCGCCTTTAGTGATGAGGACGAGCCAGCCAGGTCATTACCACACGCAGCAGAGACCGCGCCAAGTTCTGCAGCCCAACATACCTGGCCGCCTCGACCGATGATTTCCATGAGCTCCACCGCCGCTATGTCGTTCAGGCGGGTTTCTTGCCTGTGCTCCAAACCCGGAACGCATACACACACATACACACACACATACACGGTGGCCCCCGTGGCCATCAACGCCACATCGAGGTGTCGACCAGGGGATTGGTAGGACGTGTGTGAACAGGGTTCGAGGCTGGACAACGCGGAAGTGGTGCGAAGGAGCCCACAATCAATTGTTGTACGGAGAGGATGCCGATGCCGTGTTTTCCCATGCTTAAGCTTTTGATGCATGAATGGATGAATTGGTGTTAGTGTTGGTGTTGGTAAAGTCCTAACCTATCCCAACATTGCTGAACGTCCCACAGTAGCCAATAGCCCAGCCTAGCACCATGACAGCAACTATCCAACAATCTCAGTCTTAAGGCTTGAGACTTGGAAAATCATAACACATTTTGGATATTTCGGAGGTGTGCGCAAGGGCGGACAAAATATATGATTAGGGAATATTCGCGAGCTATCCCCCGCAGAGAAATCCAGCTACACTTTCCATCACTCAGCCAAACCCCAGCAAACTGAACCCAGCAATAATAAGGAATTGAAACCATGCAAATTAAATAATTTTCTAGTAATCTTATGAACATTAAAACATATAAATTGTAGGGAAGGAATACAGTGAGTAACATCCTAAATTCCAAAACAGTTTTCCCTCGCGCCCGAACGACAGGCGATTTCTGTTCCACCTGCCCGTCCAAAACGGGGAACGAGGAAACGCGTGTGCCAGAGCCACTGTGCTGAGCAGTGCCCCTACATACCCGCACCCGTCCCGGCAATCCCCCCTCCCTACATCCCGCCAAAACAGAAAACCTACATGTCGCCCCCGCCGCCCGGCACGTCCAGATGCAGCTGTACGGCAGAAAGCGTTGACTGGATTGACGAAACCATAGCGTCTAACTGTTGCAGCGGTTGCTCCACAGAGGCGTCAACCACGAAGCGCCCTGATGCTAGCGGCTTGGACAACTCCGAGGACAGCACACCTGAAACAAGAATACAAGAAGATTCGAAATATGACTTCGTGGCGGATAAGCAAGTAAAGCATATGAGAAATTCACTGTGATCGTCAAGAAGAAAACAGAGTGAGAAGATATACGCATAAACATAAAATAAACACGCCACATGTATATAACGCACGTACCAAACGTAATTAGCCTTTATAAAATAAGTCAGCATCTACAAATTATTCATGAAACAAGTATAATGTAGCAAGAAAATAAATTAAAAGAATGAAGGTTAAAGTTGGGAACGGGAGAGGAGGGGCTGGGGATCAGAAAGGGATTGGAATTCGATCTGATCCGAGCGTCGCATACATATCTTTGACATATATTCCAACTATGGACATTTATTTATGACAATCATACGCACGTGTCGTATCTACTGCACAACTCGCCTGGTGAAGTGCCCAGCTGTATTCTCGAAGGGCTGTTCATGATAGCGTACGGCAGCAGCTCGCCCGAAGTCTGTGATGAGAAACAAAACAAGAGAAGGAGATGATCTCACCATCACGCCGTGAGTGCGCGATAATTAACCGTATGTTTAGTTAGGGGAGGACATTAGCTTCTCCTATCAGAAACCCCGTGAAAAATCCGCCCGTTGCAAGCATGAACAAATTAAGTCATATAGGGCTTTTTTCCTCCAACCACCAACCGTCAACCTACAGACAACCAATCCACAACCACCCCAAGCTACCGAAGCTATGCAAGTCCACAACCAACGAACCAACCCACAACTGCTCAATCACTGACCTGTTCATGCAGCATATTCGAGCTGCGTGGCCGTAGCAGTGATACCATTCTGCTACTGCCGTAGCTCATACGGCCGGTGCAGGAAGCTGTGGCCATAGCTTCCAAGAGCCCGTTCCATTCATCCAAGAGTGACCCCTGGGTCACATGCCGATGCAACGCCTCGGTCGCCAGCTACGATTGTGTGAACAAACAAGAACCCGAAGTCATGGAAAGTAATTTCAAAAGATGATCTGAGTAGATTAGGTTATTGAGTATAAACGGTTTCATGACATTAAGGGTTCCAACCGAATCATCCTCAGTAGCACTGCTGTGTCCCCGGTTGCTGCCCCCCTCTGCCATTTGATATATCAATAATGTTTAGCCCGTGAGAGGCTCTATGGAAAGAGTACCGACGAAACGGGGACCCTACCGCAGCAGGCAGTAAATAGGAGGTATCAGTTTATACTGCATATTAATAGCAACAATTTTAGACGGGCTCGACGGTAGAATATCTAGAATGCTCAATGCTACCAGTCATTTCGGTGCGGAACTGGATTCTTTATGCGATTTTGCGAATTTTGGTATTCGGACAGCACGCCGAAGCAACATCCGAAGCACGCCGAAGCAACATCCCGAGCTACCCACTCCTCCGTCCCCCACCAGCCCCCAAGGGCGGGAAAACCCCGAGGGGGATTACAGGGGCCTAGGGGGCCTAGGGGCAAAGTGGGAGAACACCCAACCCAAGCCGCCTTGTGTGGCACCACGCGGGGGGCCCACCTCGGGGGGGGGAGAAGCCCACCCTGGAGCCCCTCCCTACCCCGTGGGGGAGGGGAGGGACAGCCCTTTAGGGGAAACCAAAGGCACACGAACCCCCTTCAACGGATATACGAATACGCGTTCTTCTCTTTCACGGCTGATGAAGTTCTTTTTGCCTTGATGAAAAGTTCAGCAGGATTTCCACCAGCAGGATATTTTCGTTTATATTAGATTATTCTGAAAGCCCGCGAAATCGAAAGCACGCGGGCGCGCAGCCTCACCCGTATCGCTTCACGCGCCTCCTGCAAGACGCCCTGTAGCGCTGACCTGGGAAGAGGTTCTGAACTTGTCAAATAAAGGCCCATAGAGGGAATGGAACCAGCGAGCAGGGACGCGGCGGGGTGGGAGGCGGAGTCCATGCCAGTGGACGTCGTTGAGGCGGTGGCCGTTGTGTGGTGTGTTTGTGTGTTTGTGTGGATATGCGTGCTGGTTTGGGTAGTGGAGTTGTAGTGGGAGTTGAAAGCGCACGGAGGTAGCGGCGCGCCCTGACAGCCCGCCGCAGCCGCCACGTCGGTTGGCCGTACAACCACTAGTACGAGTGATTGTACGGGCATACGGGTCAGTTTTTGGACGAGCACCAAATCTCGGCAGGGCATTGATTCATCCTGTGTACATGGGGAGAGAGAAAGTGGCGGTTGGTTTGGAGTAGAAAGTGCGCGTTGTTGTCGTGTATTGGTGTGTGTGTGGGGGGGGTGTTTTAGAGGGGAGGACTGGCTGGAGGCAGGTGTAACGGCACGCATAAGATAAAACAGAGCACGCGTCGCCCTCCACCCTTTCCCCCGTTCACATCCACACTCACTTTACCCTGACATTCCTCCTATCCCTCTCAACTACCGTCGCATTACATCCTCCCAAGCCCCGCTTAACACCGCCACCACCCATTCCTTCCTTCTTCCTCCCACCACACTTGCCCTTCCCCACAGACCCCACTACTGCCACCCCACCAAACCCCTCTCCAGCCGCCCTCTCTCGCCCTTTCCCCATACCTCCCACACCTGCATGTGCAGATGGCAGTTCGGTACGACACAGCCCTGGTACGTCACCGTCCCTGGAGCCATGCCCCCCAGTGCGCCGCCGCCAACGCCACTCGCCGCGCCCGGGGTGCTCACCGCGGGTCCTGCACGCCCAACCACACCGTTGGTCTTCCCCTGGAGTGACATATAACCCCCCAGTGCCCGCTTTCCCGTCGATGAATCTCCGCGATCCTGGGTTCCAGACGCTTGGGCATGGCGGGCCCCGCCGCCGCCGCCGCCGCCAGCGACCCGTGGGTCATCATCGGCGGCCTCCGGCCCCATACTTAGAGACGCCATCAAAAGCGTGTGGGCGAGCGACGTGATATGCGCGTGTACGGTTGACGGCGTGTCGCAGTCCCCCTCGGTTGAACCACCCAGGTCGACGCTCATAGCGTGGCGGAGGACGCCGCTCATAACGCCAGCGGCGCTGTTGCCGGCGATGATGGTGCTACCGCCAATGGCCCCACCACGGCCGCCTTCTCCAGATCGCAAGCGGTGGTAATGCGCACTGACGCTGATACGGCCGGAGGGCCCTACGCCACCAGAGGACAGGTTTGCGTTGTTAAGGCTTGGACTTTGGTTTGCAATGAGGTTCGAGCTCCTCGCGTGGTTGTAGGAGATGTTGTTGTTGTTCATGTTAATGCTAACATTGCTGTTGTTGTTGTTATTATTATTATTCATGTTGCTACTAGTGCTGGCAGCAGCGGCTGCATTAACACTGGCATGGTTGTTATGAGCGTTGCTGCTCCCGCCAAGGGATGCGTTCCCAGGCGTGCTTATGGCGGCGGCCGCAGGGCCAGCGGCGACAGGTGATACGGCGGCCGCAGGACCGCCGCCGCCGCCGCCGCCGGAGGCGGCCAGCGCGTTCCCTTGCAGCTTATGCGAACGGTTCGGCTGTGGATGACTGGCCGCCGCCCCCGTCACCGCCGGAGCAACGCTGCGAGGTTGTCCCGCCGCCGGCCGCTGCTGCGACCCGCCTCCGCCGCCACCATTGTTGCCGCCAGCAGCAGCTGGGGGATGCAGCCCTCGCTGCTGTCCCGCCGCCGGCGCCGCCGTCGCTGTTGACGTCCCCTGAGCCGTTGTCGTACTTCCGCGGGGCTGCAGCTGTGCGGAAGGCGGCGGTGGAGAGAGGGACCCCGGAGAGCGACCCTCCAAAATAAACGCGGCGGTGGGTACGACATTGTGTTTGAGGGCTAGCGTGGCGGTGAGGTCGTGTTGGCAGCGATGGAACAGAATGTCCCGGACGCCCGCCAGCAGGCCGTCCAGAGTTGCCTGGACGGATATAAAGTGGGGCCAGCCCAGAAGTGGCGTTACAACAGTGTATATATACACATATATATATATATATACACACACACATATATATACATATATTTATTTATATATACATATATTTTATATTATATATCTACATATATATATATTTTATATTATATATACATATACGGGCCGTGCAGCTGAGCTGTGGACGGATGCATATATTGTATACATGTTTTACATATAATATGTACAATATATGTAGAGTTTTAAAACCCTAAAACCCTATGTACACATTTTTCATATAATATATACATATCAAGAGTTCCAGCCTAGCAGCTCCCGCCAGACTACTTATACCGTCCATATATCAGGATGTGGCTCCCCCGCAGGCATTAGCTAGCTTCCTCTCCGAGGCCTGGGCGACTAGGCACGCAGCGCTCCGGCGCTTCACGCTCAAACAGGGTTTGGAGGATGACGTCAGTCACCCCCAACGCCGTCCGCAACACTAACTTCCATGATCGGTCCATGCGGCCCCTCCCCCCGGCTTTGATGGACATCCCCCGCACTTGTGCGGACACATTATATCTGGATGTGTGCGTGGTTGCGTGGTTGTTACAGTGGGCTCCAGACTGGATTTACCTGGATGTGAACGTGGACGGGTACAAAAGGCGCGGGCTGCCACGTGGGCAGCATGACTACATATTTTTTCATGTCCCTCAGTCAAACGCACGAGTGGCCCCCTTACAGGCCGTACAGCAACCGTACGGCACGTTATTCGAAACGTTACCTGCAACGTCACCGCCTGCGTCATAGAATGAATCATCCGAGCAACCTTTTGGCCGTATACCACGCTGGCGGCGTCTCCGAAAAGGCCCAAACTAACGACCTGCGCCAGTTGCAGCAGGCATGCTCGCTCTGCCCCCGACGGCGCCGCCATGGCGACGGGTAACTGGCGCCGCTGCTGGTCATGCTGCGCCGCCGGTGTTGCCGCCGCCGTGGGCGATGGCGGGATCCGTTGCATGGAGCCTGATACGCCGCCGCCGGCTGCAGCACCTCTGTCGTACCCGCCAGCAGCGGTTGCGCCGCCGCCGCCGCCAGCGCCGCCGGCGGCGCAAGACCTCAGACCTGGCGGAACGAGGCAGTCTCCTGCCCAAGCCAGCGTCACAACAGCTATCAGCTGTGGACCCACTCGTAACGGCAGGCCGCAGAAGCGCCGCAGCGGTGAGGAGGCTGCGACGGCGGCCCAGTCAGTAGGTATGTCGGCGGCTGCACCGCCGTCGCCGCCGCTGCCACCAGCAATCCCGTACCCGCTGCTGCCAAGGCCCCCTGCAGAGATAGCAGTTATGAAGGTGCTACCTCCGAAACCATTACTAGAAGTTCCTGCAGAAAGGAGGACGACCTCGCCGTTCTATGTCCGCGAGGTGATGGGAGGTGATGGGAAGGGGGAAAGGGGCAATGGAGGGGTTGGTGTGGTAAGAGGGGGAATGGGAACCAAGGGGGCAGGATCGCATGAGCCCCAAGTATTTCCGCCTCCTTCAAAAACGCGTAGAACCTGCTCTGTTCCGAAGAAAACGTACGGCAACAACAGGAAGACGTGACCTTGTCGTATCTTATAGCGCGGCGTGCGAAGACCCTGAGGTTTGAACGCCCTAAGGACAAAACCCCTGTTGCTCCAAAGAAACCATTCGTCAAGACGAGTTCGTCTGTCCATTCGATTAAGACGCTACAGCGTACGTGAAATCATAAAAACTGTATGACTTTCGCCAAAGAAAAAGAGTGACAGGTGCTGGGTCGTTTCGTGCGCCGCACAAAAACTAAGCAAAGCCCGGAAACGGTACGGTACAGTACGGCACGATGGACTCCCTGGCACTCCCTGGCCCGGTACGGCAAGTCCAAGACCCTGCCAATGACCTCCCACGCCAGCCCACAACACGCACATAGTGCTTCATCCCCCCTGCCGGTTAACCGTTACATTAACCGTTACATCAAATTTTAATAAACTAATATTATTTTGCATCATTTTGCATCATTGGATCTGTGACAGGTGCTTCCCACCTGGACACAAGTGATCCGTCCCTTCCAATTCTGTTAGGCGTAAGACACGCGCTGCTTGAGGTTTTGTCATTTTGCCATACATAAATCCTATAACTCTCCTTACCGGGCACCCACGAACCACGTGGGAGCTGGTGAAGGGTTCACCGCCGTTCCGAGCCGCCGCCGCCACAGCCGCCTTAAGACCTTGCTGCTGAACATGCTGCAGCAACGCGCCGTACGGCCCGCTGTTGGACACCACACTTGCGTACGGCACTGTCGTACACTCCCCATCGGCAGGTACGATGATTGCGATGCTGTGAAGAAAAACAGGTGTGTGGGTGGGGTGGATGCGTGGGGGAGAGGAGCGCGTGGCTGATTAATAAATAACGGGTGAGGAGAAGCTAGGGGCGTATCTGTCTGTCTGTCTTTCTGTCTGTGTGTCTCTTTGTGTGTATGATGGGGGGGTAGGGAGCGAGGCGGAAGAAAAAGAAAGCCTTGGGGGAACTGCTTTCTATCCATCTTTTTCTCACTGTAAGGTGATTGAGAGAAGCCAATGTTCCCTGCGTTTCCTCTGCCCAGGGGCGCTAGGGGACAGCGGAATCCAGCGTTCCAGGTCTATCCCCCGCGCAAGGATCACCCCTAGCTCAAATAACTCTTAAATGCCCGAGTCCTTATCCGATTTTTGAAGCGTGAGCGCGTGCTGAACCTTCAGTCGCTGGTGCAGCCTTTCTCCTGACATCCTGCGTGCAGTGGCCCTCCCGCGTCTATGAGGGGGTCGAGGGGGGTCTTCGCCCTCGTGGAGGAGCTGGCTCTCGCCGTTGCATGCCGGGGCTATCAGCAAGCGATGGGGGGCCCTATCAGCATGCGATGGGGGGGGCCCATATTGGCATGCAATGGGGGGCCCCCTCTCAGCATGCGATGGGGGGGCCCCCTCTCAGCATGCGATGGGGGGGCCTTATCAGCATGCGATGGGCGGGCCTTTATCAGCATACGATGGTGGGGCGCCCATATCGGCATGCAATGCCCGGGGCCGGGATCATGGTCGGTTCGGCCGAGGCCAAGGATTGGGTAAGGTCAGAGATGGGATCCAGAGCCGGATCCAGAGCCGGGCCAGTGAGGGACCAGTGAGGGACCAAGACGACGAGATAGATGGCGGGGTGTCTGTCTGACCCGAGAGCCGTAATCCACATGCCGCAGGCCCTACATCTAGTGTGCAGGCACACCCCTACTTGTGCAAGCTATACCGCAATGTGGAGTATGTTATCGTTTTTTTGCCGAAACCCTGTCGAGTTTGTGTTGTGGCCTTGCATGTATTCTTCGCAAGGCAGTGAAGATTGCGCGGGGCTCCCCCATATTTGTGCAGCTCTGCTTGCGTGCCCTATGTGGGCTGGAACGGGTGTCCCGTACTTTTCCCCATGCCACTCAGGTTCGGAACTGCTAATCTTTGTCCTCATGCCTTGAACGGCTTTTATCGTAATGTTCTACGCTTGCGCAAGTCCTTCCTCTTTACGTTGCGCTTCATAGGTGTTCCTGGCCACGTGCCATAACGGACCCCTAAGATAGCTTCATAGCTGGAGAACAACCTTTGAAGCTGTTTTCTTGGCTTCAAAAGATGAGAGATGGTCCTATGCTATGGAGTATGAACCGCAAAGCATAGCCGTGCAAACACAACTGTGCCAACCTGCCTGAAGTGCAGGTGCTTGTGCAAACGCGTGCGAGCAAGTCCTTTCGGCTGAGCAAGACAGGTACAAAAGCAAACTTGATCGAGCTTATCGTAAAGCTCGCAAGTGGCGAACCCCACCGCTGGCCCTCAGGCGAACAAGCCCGTAAGCAGGCCCCAAAGTAGACAAGCCCTTAAGCATTAAATGCGTCGAGAGTTCCTCGACGCTACGAGAATGCGTGCAGCATGTTGAGGAAACCGAGAGTTTCTCCGTCCAGCACATAAAAATCAGGGAGTTCCAAGGAAAGCATTGTTTCAAGCCGACGTAATGAAAGCGTCTACCGAGTACGTTCATATTTGCGGCAGCGTTCTCCTTAGGGCCATAGCGGCAGCCCACCTCGCAGCATCAACCTCCGTTATCGAACAGAGTAACGATGTGCTAGCCTCCAGACGAGAAATCCAGGTAATCCCTGTTAATTGTGGCAGGCGAACAAGGAGTTCCTGCAAGGGAAAGCGCCCAAGACATTGGCGCCACTTCCAGGCCTGCTTTTCGCAACGTAGCTTCATACCTGCACAATAGTTATTAGCCTGATTGAAGGAGGTTCTGCTGAAACCGTATTCACGTCCGGAAGCGTTAGATGTGTAGCTTGAGCTGCATTTGTGAGGATCTCACCCCCCTTTTCAAGTGACGCATCTTCAGAAGAGTGCGCTTTGTATAAAGCGCCACCTGTGCAACAGCTGAAAATCCTAAGTCCCATTGGCGCTGGCCGCCGCAAGTGTTATGCACCAACGCCTTGCACATTACGTGAGACTCTAATGCGCTGACATATTATTTTCATGGTGTATTATTACGCGCCCATTATGCGGAGCGTAATTCTACGCAACTCTGAATCCTGACAGTTAACGAGCTAACCGTATTCATAATGGCATTATAATCGTACTCGTAAGTGTCTCTAGGAATCCATTAATATACCATGTGCAGAACTAAATGCATGTGATACACTATGTCAGATATTGTAGCTGCCCGGTAATGTCACGAGCACAAAATCCATTGCGGCTTTCTGGAACCAGGTCAAAACGTTGTCGATACAATCCGGGGGCGCAGCAGTCTTCAGGTTTCGTACATGAATATTCCATACGTATCACGGTACGCTATAGGTGTCTTCTCTTAGCCCTGAGTGCCTGAAAGTCAACTCCTGCTCGCTATGTCGCCATCATTTGCCTTGTTTGTTGCTTCACTGCATGCGCATTCATATATGAATATTTTTTGGAATTGTTTCGTCAACCTAATACTTTGATTTGGTGCCGCTACGGAAACTACGGCAGCCAGCTGAGTACGTGCATACGTGATGCAAAAAATGCACGCACAAGGTTTGCCTACAATTTACCTGCCTCATGATGCCATATATCCAATTCCACTTAACAAATGGAAACAAAATGAAATGATTGGGGCTACTGTGGGTTAATCGCGGTATGCCGAGTCGATGTCATGGCACCCAATTGCAACCTCGCCGGACCTCACAGCGCGGTACCGTGTGATGCAAGTGATGCACAGCAAACAATATTACTGCATCATTTATATGCCGCTTCCGCGTACATTCACTGTATTATCTGCTGCAGCTCCTCCACGACCTCCGCTCGCCTATTTTGGCCGCCGTATGCACCTTTCGTGACCTTAATATTATAGTTATCTCAAATGAGTTTATCATATTGACTACGGTTATGTGCATATGAATCTGCATCGATTGGCAGTGATAGACTGGCCCCTCCCGAACCAAACTCCTTGCATTGCTCCATTAGATTGGCTATTGGTTTCGTACAAATGACCCTCATAACCACCTCTGACAAGCTCCTATAACTATAATGGGTTCATGCTGGACTGCACGTACTGTGGACGAGCACGTATATGTATGGCAACGAGAAACGTTGCGAGGGTGGTTTTTCCGTCCAGAAGGAAGAAGCGGCTCTTGCAAATCATGCTTGCATGCATGCTGCTAATTGAGGAAGGTGATGATGTCGGCTTTTGTTGGTGACTGCACAAACCCAAAAAAGACGTCGGCCGCCTGCGCCGTCGTAGCATCGCAACACGACCGAACCGCTTCACGTCTCTTCCCAGATCGATATGCGCGGGGTAGCTGTAGGTGACTTTGACAATATGGCTATGATATTTGAAAAGGAAAGGCTAAATCCGCAGGAAGGAATGCATTGCATGGTATGTACCAGTGCTATCCGAAGGGAGAAGCCGACTCGTGCATCGGTGAGCATTGCGGAATGGGGGCTGGGCGCCGTCACCGTTTGGTGCATTAATGGCCAAGACAAGCGAGCAGAAAACTGTGGCCGTGTCCAAAGTGGGCGAACAAGTAGTCGACACAACAGCCTCTCTCACACCGCTTCAGCGTGGTTCGACCAGTGGAGGTCTGGACTCCTCTGGGGTCAGGTTCGCCTTGGCTCAAGCAGAGGTCAATTCCACCCTGAGAAGCGTATAGGCCGGATCGTCTAGATCGATACCAACTGAAAGGGCATGGACTCCGTTTCTCGTTGGGATGTCACAAATGTTACAACGAGGGCCGAGCGACGTAAGCCTGCTAATCCAGCACAAGATGTAATAACGATGACATAACAATCTAAACAACACAACGACTTAAATAGTCATCCAGAGCCTAGGCGGCGCCGGAAGGTCGTACATTATCCATAATCCAAATGATTGTCCACGAGTAAAGTTAACGACTTAACAACTAACGAGAAAACCTAACACTGATGAACAACCTGGCTCAGAATAGAAACAATCTGCTTGGAATGCGGATAATGGTCTGTCATGCGTTGCAGCAGTGATGCTTGTGCGGAACTAAGGCCACACAGGGCGCGTCCTCCAGCACGCCACAGCAAAGCTTCTGCAGACAGCCGCGGCCGGAAAGGGAAGCCACGCACGGCCGTATACGGCAGGTGGGCGCAACGGAGACTACGACGCACAAAGAGCCTTCTTTACTTGCCTTCCAAAATTGTCAGCTTATCATCTTTCAGAAATATAACATTGATCGTGAGTAACTGCGAATGTGATGCGTTAACCGGACGCAAGTCGACGCTCATTCGGTCAAACGCAGCCGCAACCACAAAACAGTCTGGGAGCTTCAAAACCCGCCTTTAAAAAATCATTATTTAAATACTTTCTTTGACATGATGGCATAAGCAAAGCACGATGGGAATGCTCGCGGAAAGCGGTAGCATACGGTATCCGTAGAATTGCTTTGGCCCGATTGCGCGCTTAGTATGGCTTTTTGCACCGCGACAGCTGCTCCATAGATTGCATAAGGAAACGATGTATCATCAAACTTTCCAGACGTTTGCTTGATTGCTGTCCGATTTGGGACGCGACTGGATCAGTCAGTCAGGGGGGACTCCTGGTAGTTGTGCGGCTTACGCTTCCATCACCAGGCTAGAGATCGGTGCACACGGCACCGTGGGTGTTCTATGTGACCTATGCCTTGCATATGAAAATATGTGCTGGGTTATAGGCTGTTAGCCAATGTTAGGTGTGCAAAAGGTAGCGGCGGTAACAGCAAGCGCGCATCACATTGCCGCCTTACCGTCCCACCTTCGCCCGTGTTTAAGACTGGTCAACCATTGTACCTGCTAATGGTTGCGCAGATATGATTACGTGCCTGATGGACACCCCGTGTGGACCATACATTCACACCGCATGCAAGCTGCTACCCATTTCTATACAATACCGTCCATGCGGCCCCCTCCCGGCTTTTACGGACACCCCCGCACGTGTGTGCGGAACTTGTAACTCCTTGTAGCATAGCAGCTGCGGCGCTGGTAGGGCACTGCTAGGTCTGGCGAGCAGCTCATCAAATGTGTTGCGTGCGGAAGCTACTGGGGATGTGGTAGCGGGAGTCGTAGACGCACGGGGCTGCGGGCCGTGTGCGGTGAATGCCGGTCCATGTCAGAGGTCGTCCGAGGTGCATTATTTCGCCTCGGGTCGCCCCGGCCGCGTGCATATATGTCACCGGGCCCAGTTTGGCAGAGGTGTGCGACAGTTGGATGTGTCCCCTCTCCTTTGTATTCGTACCGTGAAGCTGAATTGTTGATGTTTCTTTTGTTGGATGCCGCACCGAACTCTCTATCTTTTTTCCAATCCTGTGTACATTGCTTATGTGCGTTTAACTAAGGTTTAGTCAGCTGATGAAACTACGCACACGGTGATGCAGCTCCCGCGTATACACCTCCAGTTGTATCGTTGGAGGTAAATCAGTCAGTAAAAGCAGAGGTGAGGTTGCGTCAGGTTGCAGCAAGTACGTGCCCTTTTGGGCTTTTGCCCCCAGCTCTATACGCTCCAGCAGCTGCTCTCCAGCTATGTGCGTTGTTGCCACATTGCCAGCAACTGCAGACCTTGTGACTGTTATTTGTGGAACCCCTCCAGGTCCCGTTGCTCGAATGCACTGTACACACTGCTTGAATGTGCTACATAACCTCAGGCCATGTTCGCATCCGCCTGCAGGGAGAGATGTCAGCCTCCGGTCTGAGGTGCAGCAATTTATTACCAGCATATACTCAACTTACATCACGAGAATACTATTGCCATGAATGGTACGATATGGACCGTACCGTACTGTCTGTAGGGCCCATCACCCTGTCTGTAGGGCACCCACCCACGTGCGTACCTTTGTACGACTATCATTGGACCTCAGCACCTTCATGCGTTAATCCTTGGCTCACGACTTCATGCACAACGAGCGTCTGCTGGTCCTGTCAGGGCACCCACCCACGTGCGTACCTTTGTACGACTATCATTGGACCTCAGCACCTTCATGCGTTAATCCTTGGCTCACGACTTCATGCACAACGAGCGTCTGCTGGTCCTGTCAGGATTAGGATCACGAGCTGACTGTCGCGACTGGTGCATTTAGGTTGCAGAAGACGGGTAACATACACAAAACTGAGCCTTCACTTACGCAGCTATGTCGGTGGGGCCAAAGGACTTCGGCCTTTCAGTGTGCGGGCCAGGGGTTAGCCATAACCGTTATCCGTTAGGTGCAGGTCGTTGTAGAGCCGGTGCTAAAAGCCATTTGCCAATGCCGGTGTCGATGCCTGCCCAGTGACATCACCACCCATACCATACGTCACTATAACATACCGTCTTCTGTCGGGCATGGTCTCGGAGGACACAAAAGGCTCTAGACAAGCAGAAAAATGACATAGCCGTTCTTGTTATGGGTCCTTGGTCCATGGCTGTGTGCTGTGGCAGCACACAGCCGTGACTGAGAACAGACAGTGAAGATCAGAACTATAACCCGAGCCGTATTGCAGTCCTGTCTGGCATATGTAGCAGATGGGCAAAAGTCTCGATGACCGCATCCCACAGCCCATTGACAAGGCTCGGTCAATCTAGTTGGATCGGTCAACTTGTCCTCAAAAGCAGGACACGCTACGGCAAGGCGGTACACCATTATGTCAAAGCTGTTCGACCACTGTAGTCTCAATTTAGGAATTTTTTACTAACGACAACCTAACGTGACAATAATCGGTGTTTCTCGTCACACGCAACAATAGCCCATCACTAGTTGACCGCAAACTTATATGCCGGAGTTCATCAACGGAAACAAAAGCTGCTTCCTTGCCAACCTTACCAACGAAGGGTCACGGTCACCCACAAAGCGCGCACATAGTAGAACAACATTGCTTTTGTCGACAAGCCAGTAGCCCAATCATATGTTGTGGAATGGACCAAAAAGAGCGCCATCTCAGCGGCAGAGGCACACGAGGAGCCCAGGCGCCACGGACACACGCTATCAACGCTGGCGGCCACCATTTCCATACGTGGGAAGCTGACATGGATATGCACCACGGTCGCACGACAGGCGCAAGCCGCTACGAGTTCGCCGCTGCAGCTGCACCGCCACCGCCACCGCCACCAGCAGGGACAGGCGGGGGAAAGTCAGGGTCGCGAAAGAGCATCTCCAGCTCGTTCAGCCGTAGGTCGGTTCTGTCCTGCCGCAGCGACCCGACGACAGCGGCGGCAGCAGCGCCGTGGCTGTCGTGGTGGCCATTCCCCAGTAGCAGGAGACTTGGGCTTGCGTTACTGGTACTGGCGCCGGCGCCGTTACCAGCCAACCTGCGCGTCTTGACCACCTCCATGACTCGCTCCTCTACGGAGCCCTTCGGAGCCGGGATAACAGTGCGGAGGACAGGGCGGTTCGAGGGGAGGGGCGGGGAGGGTGCAATGACAGGATGGGATGAAGGGACAATGGACTCACTGGGCTCACCTTGAAGCGAGGACAAAGGGGCAATGATGGGAATACAGGATGATGATGATGATGATGATGATGATGGTGATGATAATTAACTTCTCTGCAAAGGCTTTCCGAAAGCATGAAGGGCAACATGAAAAGAGGGGAAGGAGACTGCCATATCGGACTGCTTTGCTGGCGCGCCCTTGCCTATCGATAGAGTACTTGCGCTTATACGTGTGCTTGTGTTTGTATTTGAAACAAATGCATACTAAAAAGTTGATGAATGACAACGGCCTTCAGTATTGTACCTTCACAAAGAAGCGCTTGACGACGACTGGCCGTTGCTGACCCATGCGCCACGCGCGCCCGATGGCCCTGAACACAATATGCCGCGGCAGGCGGGCTGATTTGAGGGTTGCGGTGTGGCTACCACTGTGAAGATACAACCCGAGAAAAGAAGTGCTTTCAGAGGCAGTTACCCAGGAGATTTCCTCTTTCCCCCCCTCCTTTGGCTCGTCACTCACTGCTCCTCCATGGCCGGATTCATGCAGGGCTCCAGCAGGAAGACATAGTTGGCCGCGGTCAAGTTGATGCCCACTGCGCCAGAGCGCATGGACAACAAGAAGACGCAGGTCTTGGGGTTGCGCTGGAAAGAGTCAATAGCCTCGGTGCGCTTCTTCTGCGTCATGTCACCTGCGACGCGGACCAGCAACACCGCACAAAAAGACACACGGCGGCGCAAGGAAACGCGCACTTCTTGGCAAGGCAAAAGAAACGCGTCCTGAAGTTGGCTTAACTGGTTCTGAAGGCTGCCTCACATGGGTTTGCTCACATGGGTGGCCTGAGGACAGCATCAACAACAAACAGGTAGCAGGAGACCTCTCGGTCCTCAGCCCCTTCCCTCCCTCCCTCCCTCCCTCCGCAGTCTCGAGCAGTCTCCAGAAGCTTTACAAAAAGAGTGGTGGCCTTACCAGTAATGGTACTGTGGCCGAAACCCTCCGCGACCAGCTTGGGCTTCAACCAGTCGAGCGTCTGTCCAAACCTGCGCAGGGAGGAATGCAAACATGTGCTATGGCAGGAGGAAGCTAAGCCGTGCCCGTGGGCTTGTATGTGTAAGTGGGATTGGGCGGGCTGCTGGCAAAACGGGAGCCTGCCTGCCGACCTTAGCGTGCTCGCACCATGGCAGCATGAGAGTGCTATGTATGAAAGTGACGAGGTTAAAAGGAGCTGACGACAGGGCGGCAAGTTTGGTTCAGCTATGCGAACGGCGCATGCAACGTTTTTTTAATTTAACATTACCAATCACGGCAAGCGGACACACCGGCAATCCTTTACCCAAACCAGGACACCGGGGGAGATGCACTCGACCTGAAAAGGTGAAAGGTGACTGCGTTGCCCGCACGAGGTCTACACAATAACCTCGTTCACCCATCCCCAGTGGACCCATCCTCCCTCCAGTGCCAAAGCACGATGATGCATATGCTTTTCCATCCACCCCAAAGTATGCCCTGCATCTTCCTTCAACACATCATTCGTCAAGCGTGTGCTTTCCAACTGTAGTAACAACGGTAACGGTAACGGTAACTGACTGTGTAAACACCAGCGCCTTGGCGGTGGGATCCGCGGCCCGCATAGCGCGCAGCTCCGCCAGCAGCATCCGCAGCTTGCTTTCGCAGGGGATGCCGACTTCGTCTGAGCCGCTGGTCGCCTCGTCCTCATTGCTTGTACCGCCCTGCGCCGCGGCCCGCCGCGCACTGACGCAGCCACGGCGCAGGCTGACAACTGTCACGGGCTGGCGACACGCCGGACAATCATGATGTGCCGATGCATTGATCCTACAGTGTGGGTAGGCAGCGATACACAGCGGTGCGGTGCGGTGCGTAAGGGCGCAGAATGCCACTCCTTAACCAAATGGCAAACACCAAATAACAAATCCAATCAGAGCTCCGCTGCGCCGGCGCCATAATTACCATCACCTCATCATCAATGCTTCTCATAGGCTGGCATATATTTTTACAAGCCTATCTGTTCAGGGAATGAGATAAATATTAATTTGTAAAAACAACGAGCAAAAAAAGCATCACAACTTTTAATCACTTACCGCTTTATAAAAACATCACAATGGTGGTAATGTCTTGTGAGGATTTTCAGTAGTAATAACAAGCGACAGACGAGGTGGACCAAACAAGATTGGTGTTGTAAACCATTTGGCAGGCAGGCAGGCAGGCAGGCAGGCAGGCAGGCAGGCAGGCAGGCAGGCAGGTAGACTCACCATCCAATGATGCATTCCCGGCAGAACCAGTGGCGGCACTGCGTCACCACCGGCTGGTCCAGAGTGTCCACGCAAATGGGGCACTCGGCGATGTCCGCCGGGATAGGCACCTCCGTGCTCTCCGCTTCGGCGTCAGCGCCACCGCCGCCGCCGCCGCCGCCGCCGCCGCCGCCACTGCCGCCGTTTACCGTGGGTTGGTTCTTCGCACCTGCGATGAAGCAATTCATCGCATCACCCAAGCGTGCTGCTGCTGCGTACGGCATGACCGAACCAACCTAACAGCGAACCGCAGCGCAATGCGCCGCAGAATGTCACAGGACAGGACAGGACAGGATGAAACAGGACGAAACAAGGGCAGCACATCACATCACATCACAGCACAACATCATCATCATTACCACACCACGCATCAGACGCCTTACAACGAACAGACGGCAAACCATACAGGATGGCACATGGACCACACGGACCACGATAAGGATCCAGTATACTACACGACGACGCACGGATACTCGCCTGCCAGGGCCGAGAAGCGCTCAGGATCTGGAATCGCCAGGTCCCTGGCCAGCATCCGCCCGCCGCTGCATATGCGGCGAAGTGGAACCAGCATTGACGTGGCGGTGAAGAGGTGTGAGTTCACATACTTGGTGCCCATGGCCTGTGGTGAAGGACGTGCCGCGGGAATTAAATTAAGTTTGAATTAAGTTATGGGAAAAGGAGCGTTATAAACATAACACATCGTGAACGCGGGAATTGAAAATTAGGGCTACGGAAGGAGCAAAATGCTCCGCCTTACAGTCCATTTATAGAGGCGCTGTTGCTATTACAGAGGACCTCGTTATGGTCTCTACCGCCAACCCATCCACGTCATCCGTCCCCCATCCCGCCCAACCCCCATACATACACACATACATTTCGGACACACAACCGTCGGCCCCCCTCAGGGCCCTTGGGTCCCCCCTCATCAGGGCTCCATGTATGTCTGTATGTATGACTTCGATTACACTGTGGGCCACGAGAGCCGGGGGCCGAAGCCGAAACACAGCGCATGTATGTCTGTATGCATGCATGCATGTATGTGGGCCCCCAGGTAACACCTTCGGAAAGTAACGCAACTCCAGGAGGTGTAAGAGACACACACGCACATACATACATACTTGCGAGCTGACCAGGAACTAAGTTGATGCGCCGTTGATCCGCTAGATTTGGTTGGATGCTGGTGGTGAGTTGCCGAACCCAACAAATACATTCTGAAGTCAGATGGGGTGACGGATTAGGGTGCCCCTCTAGCAGGGGAGAGCAGGGACTGCCCGGGAAAGGGGCCGCTGGCGAAGTTAACCACCCTGTAACAACATACATACATACATACACAAACGCATGGCAGCAGAAATTTAAACCTACGCCACCCTGACACAGCAGCAACAACCTCCTCCTCCTGGGCTTCATTGACAACTAACTGTAGTATCCTGGGTATCACGGGATCTAGCATCCGCCGATCGGTTCTTTTCTTGCACTTGACAAGACGTGATACAACACTAACCTTGAGCTTCTGCCAGCCAAGCTGCGCCTCTCCGTGCACCTTGCGGTACAGCTCCTGCTCCTGTGCCGTCAAGTACACTGTGAAGGGAGCAGCGAAAAAGAACCCGCGACGAACACCCCCGTGGCCAACGGGTGATTGTTACCAAAAGAGTTGCGGTGGTGTTACCAGCGGTGTTACCAGCGGTGTTACCAGCGGTGTTACCAGCGGTATCCAACACGCGCCACAACTGCACGGTGAGCGACGTGCCACACCCAGGGAGACTAAAGGGCGTGCTCATCATCATCATCATCATCCTATTCCCCGAGATCTCACGTTTTCGCCCTCCCGACACCTCCCGACAGGTCTAGAGTCTCTCCGTCATCAGAGGAATCAGAGCCATAAAAATCTTACTCTTGCCTCCGTGTCTCAATTTAGCGATAAACAGAACAGTGATTATAAAAAAATAGGAGTCGACTCTTTTCTTTTCAAGGAAGTCGACTCGGCCACCGCACGTAGGCCATCGGAGTGTGCGACCTGCTAGCTGAAATATATACCTATAGCTACCCACTACTCTCATCTCACCAGGCACATCCGTCTCCGTTTTATCCGGGAGCTGCAGCACGCCCTCACCACCCAGGTTCTGGCCCTTGGTGTGGCGAATCATGGTGTGGCGAAGGACGTATAGCAGCGGCGTCCAAACCTGGTGGTAAGGCAGCTGCAGGAGAGGACGCGGGTTTTACAAGGTCATCAAGCGGGATACGTGAGAGGGAGGGGTGTTTTGAGTCGGTCTGAGACGGGCCGGGAAGGCAGCAGTGTTGGATGAGATGGGGCGGATAGGATGCAGCGGCAGGGTATGGGAGGGCTGAAGTCACTACAGCTGCGGATATGAGCCCCTTGGGCCTTCGGCTCGTATGGGTAGTAGTTTTACAAGTATGGGGTCACGCACCCCCCAACCATGTAACACAAAGACACACACACACATATATATGCATACATATACATATATACATGTATATACATATATACACATAAGATATATAGCAAAGGTAATGGGCGCATGTAAAGGGATAAGAAACACACTCGCACCGAAACCACGAAGAGGCGAAGAGGGGCTCGGAGTGGGGCATTTCCCCATCATCTTCATCACGTACCTTCACGTGCGAGTCAAAGTAGGTTTTCTTGCCTAGCGGCGTCAGGTGGATGGCGCCGAACTGCCCCTGCAGGTCCTCCACCGCGTTGTTAATGGGAGTGCCCGTGCAGATCCATCTGCGATCCGCCACCAGCTCAATTGCCGCCTTGTACATCTTAGAGGCCACGCTGCGCAGCGTGTGCCCTTCGTCAAACACAATGCGGTGCCACCTTATCTGTTGGCAGGGGTCCTTGGAGCCACCCGCGTGGTCGCTCTGCGGTAGGGTAGGTAAGGACGGCCGGCGATGGATGGTAGGCGAGGGATGTGGAGAGGATTAGTTTTAGCTGCGCTTTACTGACCCGGCTTGTTTACTTGGCCCTAAATCCCGTAAGAGAGGCTTTTGAGGTTTTGGGACTTAAAAAGGGTTCAGGATGTATAGATTTTCCAACACAACTCTGTCCAACATGGAAATAATATCCGATTCCTCCTCGCCTCCTGTTTTTTGCCTGTTTTCCTTCTGCTTTCCTACGTTTGAATATGTGTTTGACTGCGTATGCAATGGACGTTGTTAAGGGAAAAAAGGGCATCCTCACAAACGTTAAGGTCGAAGGGACAACCCTGCAGTCGACATCCGAACCACCTGAGGCTCATTTGGGGAGAGAAGCGGCGGAAAGTACAGTTTTGGACGTCGGAGCAACCTTGCACGTCGGACTTAGCCAAGATCACCCCTTAGGGTCGCTTACGGCTGGGGAGTCGCTCGGGAGTTTGGTCCCACCCCACCCCACCCCATAATCATCCCACCCGTCCCCACCCCACCCCACCCCATACGTAATCTAAAGGCCCTGTTCCGACGTCACCTGGAGGGTTTGGTACGTCGTAACCACGACGTCGAACTCGGTGGCAAGACGCATCGGGTCACGGATGCGGCTCGGCCTGGGAGGTCCAAAAGTCCACAGGGCCATGCCAGCAAGTTAGTGCGAAATCACCGTTCCGTACATCCGTACATGCACGCATTTCGCTCAAATCAAGAAGTCCTACGTTGCAAAGACGGGATCGGCTGCCTGCATGCCCGCATGCCCACGGCAGGCATTAATGCGTTCTTTAGTAGCTGAAGGCAGGCTTGCAATCCCCAATCAGCAACAGGGCGACATGATGGCAGGAACAAAAGGCATGTTATGAGGACAGTACTGCAAATGTACGGCACGTACAGTTGTGTACGGATTCTCACGCGCGCCGAGACCATGTCCAGCCTACCACCACACTTAACCACCTCCCAAACCCAATCAGCATCCTGCGTAACCAAGAATGTTTTTAAAGCCAAAGCTTGATGACACATATCTCCGCGCCGCGCCGCGCCGCATGCACCCCCCCTTGCAAGGATAACGTGACATGTCTGTCCATCACAAGCGGAGAGCTCGCCCGTGATTTTCCGTGACCAAAATAGCAAAGGAGCTCCCCCCCTACCGCAGCAGCAAGGAACTAAAAGGACTCGCTACGTTAACACCCTCCAAACTGAGAAAAACCCCTGACGGCTTTCCCAACTTCCGAACTCATCAATTCCACTCACCCGTGGTACGGGTGGATGCGGATGGCCCTGGTGGTCTTGCTGGCGGCCTCCATCTGCCACTGTCCCACCAGGGACACCGCACACACCACCAGCGTGGCGCGAGACACGATGCGCCCGCACGAAAGCTCCCTGCCCGCGACCACCGAGGGCGCCGGCGGGTTCGCCAGGATCAGCGCCATCACCTCCACCGTCTTGCCCAGCCCCATCTCCTCCGCTGCCCCCGCAAGTGTGCGATGTCAGGGCACGGACAAGAAAAAAACACAGGCAACTCATATCAACGTAGCGTGAGTGAGCGGAACGGTACCGGTACACGACAGCAGCGGCACGGATGCTGCAGCAGCAACCAGCTACCGTATCCCGGGGGGTGTGGTGTTTTTTGTATTCCGGGGGCAGTGCGTGTGCAAGTAACATGCTGAATATCGATGGATACAAATCCATCTTCAATATGAGTTACTTCATAATTTGCTCACCAGATGGTCCAGAATGATCAACAATGTGCAGTGGGGACATTGTTTTCACATGCAGGACTGAAGCAGCAAACTCACAGCACGCACGTTTTATTTCACGGAAACATGTATGATGCGTGCCCCGCCTCTCTCCCCCCCTCCTTCCGCTTCCTCCTCTCCTTCCCCTCCTCTTCCTCCTCCTTGCCACTCAGGAGCCCAGGAATAATCCTTACTCACCCAAGAAGCCACCGGTCGACTGGGCGGGCACCACCCGTGTGAGGCGTTCAAACACTGGCGAGTACCAGTACCGCTTCCCCTGCGCATTGGTGACGGGCAGCCAGAACAAACGCCGGTAGCCGCCGGGGCAGCCGCCGTCGGGTGCGTCCGCTGGGTCCACCAGCGACGAAGCAGCAGCAGCAGCAGCTGCAGCAGCCTGGCCGGTAGCCGCAGGGGCTGAGGATGTGGACGGCCCAGCGCCGCCCTCCGCACCGTTCGCGGTGGGACGGTCTACAAGCCGCTCAATCTCCAGCATGAATGCCAGGGACTGCAGCTGGTAGGGCCGCATGGTGACGGTCAAGCCCGGCGGTTGCTGCACCGCAGGCCGCTCACCTGCGCGCACCAGGCCACATCTTTTCAATACTAAACACTGCACAGCCGCCCATCCTGGTATGTGGTAGCAGCCCATCCTGGTATGTGGTATATTCATCATCACAGCACCAAGCAGAGACAAGCCGGCCATGCCATGCGACCCACCATGCACACACCGTATAGCACTACCCGGGACCAGTTTCATCAGGCCCCATTTTACCAGCACGACCTTGTACGAACTGCCTTTACGACACGTGCCCCTCACCGCTCTGCATGAAGTCTAGAAGCTTCTCAATCGACCGATCCAGCTGGTCGCCCCACAGCTTCTTGATGCCCTCCACCATCTGCACGGCTCGCCGCCGCTCCGAGAGCACGCGCTGCCGCAGCTGCTCCGCCTGCGGCCCTCCTCCTCCTCCGGCGGCGGCACCCAAGCTGGAGCTGGTGTTGGCGGCGGAGGCGAACGCGTGCGGTTTTGACGGGCCGGCGGCAGAGGCGGCGGCGGCAGCTGCAGCCGCGGCAGCACCCGCCGCGGCCGTTCCGGTCGCTTGGTCATGAGGCTCGTCTGGGTCGCAGGTGATGAGCAGCTCCATGGTTTTCGCCAGCGGGAACCGCGCGTTCATAGCTTCCTGGCGCTTGCCAGTGGACGGCCAGTCGTCCTGACAACAAAAAGCTCAACAGAAGTTATGGCGGTTCAACGAACGAAGACCGAAGGATGCCAGGGAAAAAAGGACGACCGGGAAACGAAGGAAAAGCGCGTTTTCGCTCCTCTAAGAAGCAGTAGGAAGCCACCTCAGTGGAATTCCAGATCCATATTCGCAGGCAATTCGTATATTGTACGATGCAATCCGAATTCAGAGAAAACATTGGTTTTTATACGCTTTTTTAAACAAAAACCCAGTTAACTTGGTTCTCAGGATTAGCCTGCCTGGATTTTTAGCCTACCTGTAAGTTGTGTACTTCAAGGTAAAGAACTGCTCGCCGATATGCTGGTAGGGCCACCAGATTCCTTAACCCACGGTTACAGAACCCCTCGTCGCCCCAAGCGGCTAACCTCTTCCTTAAGCTTGTTCCTTAATCTTAACCCAAACAACCCAACCAACCCACATGTCTTTGTGCACTTGCGCTTTGCCTGACGCCAAACGGACAATATGGACGATGTCCGCCACCCGAAGAGCAACACCCGTAGGACAACCCCCGCTTGCATGGCGTGGGTCCTACCTTTTGGCCCACATCCCGTACATGATCCTACCTTTTGCCCCACATCCCGTACATGATCCTACCTTTTGGCCCACGTCCCGTACATGATCCTACCTTTTGGCCCACATCCCGTACATGATCCTACCTTTTGCCCCACATCCCGTACATGATCCTACCTTTTGCCCCACATCCCGTACACGATCCTACCTTTTGGCCCACATCCCGTACATGAACCTACCTTTTGGCCCACGTGCCGTACATAATCCTACCTTTTAGCCCACATCCCGTACATAATCCAACCTTTTGGCCCACATCCCGTACATGATCGACTTACCCACGGCAAAAACAGAGAATTGCGACCCAGGGCGTTGGTGGTCCAAGTGAACACCTGCACGGTGGTGGGGTACTTTTAGCCACATGCAGGATGAAAGCCATGAGGCCAACCTACCCTGTACTCTCACCCTCAGACGACAGTCTAACACATTCGGCATACACTGCACACTACTACAAAAAAAGCGTTCATGGGAGCTCTACAAGGAAGTTATACTACTAAAATTATGCTCAGCCCCCATTACAAAGCCCATTACATTAAGCCCGCCCATTAACCACACCGACCTTGATGAAAAGCTCCCCCTCGCGGGCATCCGCGCCCGGTCGCGAGCTCAGCGGTCGCAACGCAACGTCGGTAGCGACCATACAGGCGCCTTGGCGCGGCATCGCGCCCATGGAATACTTGTCCTCGGGGTGAGCCCGCCGCGACAGGGTGACCAGCTCCGCGATGCAAGAACTCACCACCTCCTGTGTGCGAAAATTGCCCCCCCCCAAAAAAACTTCTTTCTGCTGAAATTGAATAATTCTTCCTTGTAAATCGCTATATATATTATATTCTTCATAATTTTGTAAAAGTATTGCAAAAAACAGTACCGTCCATGCCACTGGACGCTTGGGAGAGGCGGCGCAGATCTCTCAGAAGTAAGGATCTTACTCCAGCACAGACACCTAGATTCGATCTGTGTACCTGTACCTGTGTATCCTCTAGAGATAACATCCTAACCCCCTACCTTTTGCGACTTGATCAACGCCGCTCGGTGCCTCGCGTCAGCCATGTTGGCATCAGACTCTGCATGTGCCGGAAACGCCACACGCAGAAGCACAACCGGTGACGACCGCACATATTTATGAACACTTTTATATGGAACGGACGGGGGAGGCGCGGGGCGGGGCAACAGCCGTCATACCCTGCTCTTTGGCGGCCCCCCCCCTTCTTCACCCGCAGGTATGTTCGTATCCTCCCGGCCCGGCACCTCGCAATCCAATCCCCGCGATAGAGCAAACAGCACGAAAGGCAGGGAAGGAGCCGCAGTTGCAGTTGCTGCCCCTGTGCTGCACCCCCAGCAAGACGAACTTAGGGTTACAGCGGTCGCAGAATCATAGCCGATTCTTCAAGATACACACACACACACACACACGCGCGCCCGCGTGCGCGCACATCGTGGGTCACCCAGAAAGGTCGGAGGCGGCGGCGTTGGTAGAGCACGGGTCACAGTGGGCAGGTCAGGAGCCACCGCGGGTCACCGCGGGTCATCCGATCAGTCAGTCACCCCGTCACCCAGTTATCGGTCATCCGATCAGCCAGTCACCCGGTCACCCAGTCACCCGGTTTTGACGCCACCAGGTAGTTACCCACTGGGTGCAAACACACGAGGAGGCTGTGCGAGAGTCACCCACCCCGCATAGCCTCTTGCGATGCGCTACGGTCCACCGCTGGCGTGCGCATCTCGTCCACTCGGTAACACGATGCCGGCAGGTTCTGAAAACACAGCAGTGCGGGGGCAGTGTACAGGGGGGCCAGAGCGCAGGGGGAATATGCGCAGAGGATATGCCAGAGCGCAGGGGGAAGAGTAAGACAGCTAAGGAATGGAACGTGGCAGGGACTTGGCAGGGGGGGAAGCCACCAGCACCACCACCAGCGCCACCACCACCACGAAAGGGATGTCAATAATTTTTTTCTGTATCGATGATGTATTCATTATTCCTTTTCGTTTACGTAGGCCCTTTAATGTCGTACAGTTTACCAACCAGTTACAACCGGATAGTTCGGGACAAGGGCCCTCACAACTTGAGAAGCCGAATGGCCAAACAAAAAAAACAAAAGCAGCGGGAATAGCTTTCCCCTACCTATTTGGTAGCAAGGAGGACGACTCTCTGGATAAGCAATTCCGCGGCCCATGCTGATATCGCCGATATTGTGCCAGGGTCAAGGAGCCAGGACCTAGAACACGTCCCCTACCGCCCCTTTACTCATAAAAAAACTCGGGAGAATGCGCCAAAAAACGTCCCCACTTTGTCTCGTAATACCCTGATATTTTTTTTCGCGCTACTACTTGCTATTCGTAAACCCAATGAGCATTAACATTAACCTTTATTGTTCGCGCTTGGAGCGGCCGCAAAAAAAATGCACGCCGTAAAAAACTAAACTACCGTGTTCATCGTTATAACGGGGCATAAAAGAAGGAAGCAGCTTGAGATGAGATGCCGCAAAGTCTTCGCGTCCATAGGTGACCTAGCACATCACAGCACAGCACAGCACAGCACAGCACAGCAGAGCTGGTGCACGGCGTTGACAAAAGCTGACAAGCCTGCGCCTGCCCAAGATGCCCCTGTATGCAGTGCCATGCCATGCCATGCAAATGGAACTCCAAACAGCTGGGAGGGAACCCCCCACTGGGGTTTTCGGTTTAGGGTTTTAGGGTTTTACTGGGGCCCCCAGCCCCCCCATCCGTCTAAGCTACTAGAGGGCTAGGGGGCTACTACGACGGCAGCTTGAGCATCCCCCCCGTGCATACCTTAACCCCCGAAAACAAACCCCCCACCCCCGGTTACGTGTGTCAGTGCGACCGACAATCTCCAAACCAGGAACTCTCTTACGTGCGGCAACACGACCGTCATCTGCACCATGTTGTCATCATCGAAATCCCAGGTATCCATGCGGGCGCCCGAGGGGCCCCAGCACAACCTGTTCGTGGGCGATAGACGCTCTGCCAAAGTGCTCCTGTTGCCAAGCAACACAACGATGGACGACTGTGCAGGGGCCGGAGCTCCCGCTATACGGTATGTCTGCGAGCGTGTAAGGGGACATGCGGCCAGCCATGCGGGCAGGCAGACAAACATCCGTAGATCAGTATAGAGTGCGTGTGTGCGTGTATTTGTGTGTGTATGTGTGTGTGTGTGTGTGGCGTGGAACATCATTTCAATGAAGAGGTCATTCATGACACGTTTGCTTCACTGTACATGCGGTGCAGACGTCCGATGGATTGCTCAAGAGTTCTTGTCTTGCCTGGTAATCTATAAAACAATCCTTGAGATCAAGGTAAACACATGCAGCACACACGGCCCGGCCCGCAGCCGCGTTACCCGCACAGCCCCGCAGGAACACCAACCTTTTCCTCCTAGGGATAAATTCGCGCACACGGGCCAAGGGATGAGGGGCCGTACACTACCGTTGGCACTTGCCATCGAGCTGGCTGCACGTGATAGGCTACACGTGATGAGCAGCAGGCCGGTGTTGCTGTTGCATGCAATGGCCGATGTGGCGCGCAGCGGTCGCATTGACTGATGCAAAGCGCATAAGGGCATGCGCACATGGGCATGAGTATGGGTTCGGTTTTCCACAGCTTCTCACTAGCTCAGGCATATGCCGCCTTCCCATCTGCATATAGGCGTGGCGCCAGCCACCATTCTGGGATGCTCGCCCGGATTTCCCGTGCCTAGATCCTGACCCGGGCCAGGACTACGGCAAGGCCTGAGAATGTTGGTAGGCGGGTTGAGTGGCTATAGTTCAGGATAGGTCGGCGCACTGTCGAGTATCGGCGTAAACCTGACATACAGCTCGCAACCCCCACCCAGGCCGCAACCCTCGCCGCCCCGCAAGAAGATCCTGGTGATTCGCAGACCTGGTGCTGAGCCCATGGAGGCTCCTCCCCCCGCCCAGGCAGACGTCACCCCCACCTGCAGCGCGCGCAGCACCGCCGAGGTCAACTCCTTAGCTGCGGAGGAGCTGCCCTTCACGTGCTCCTTGCGCAACGGCACCAGCAGCGGAGCCGTGAGTCGCGTCGTACATTTGCTGCTCCGTTCCGCCGGCGCCGCCGCGTCCGGGCCCAGCGGCGGCGTGTACTGCCGGACGTGCACCACCAGCCAAGCAGGCACGGAGGCCCACCGATTCCCACTGAAAGGGTTTTCAGGGGCTGCAGGGCGGCCGCCGCCAGCGGAGGCATTAGTAGTTGTCGACCCGTCGTGGCAGTAAATCGGCATCTCGACCCACTTCGGTCTTGCGTCCGCCGGCGTTCCGGTGGTTGCCGTACCCCGGCGCAAGAGCCCTTCCGACGCTGGCGGCGGCAACGAGTAGCTGCGGAATGGCAAATCATGCAAATGAAGAAGGAAACTGCTGAGACGGTGTTACGCAACTCCTGGAGGTGTAACACACGCACACGCACACATACATATATGGGTCGAAAATCCTTCCGATGGTGGAAGGTATTGCGCCCCTAATTGATGGACGGTGGTGACCTGGGATAAAGTTAACCTGCGAGCCGACCAGGAACGGAGTTGGGCCGCTGTCGACCCGGCAGATTCCGTTGGATGCTGGTGGTGGTGCGGAACCTGAGCGATCCACTGAGAAGTTGACTAGGGTGACTGGATGAGGGTGCCCCGAAATACAGGGGAAGGCAGGGTTTCGCAGGGTAGCTGCCACGGGCAAAGATACACCCCCCTGTTTCACACATACATACATACATGCATGCACACGATTGGGATAGTAGACCGGAAAGCGAATGGCCGTGACATTGGAAGCGCTCTGCTGGAGGGAAAGCACACTAGGAAGTGGTCTGTAGTTTTCGGTCCCACAATGATTCAACATCATCGGGTCGACATGAAGGGGAGGCTGATACAGTAATGTAGTAACTAAAACGTAATTTTGCAGAGGTTATTCTTCCGCCCCCACCCCCACCCCCATCCCCCCACACACAACAACGACGTGTCATGGCAGTGGTAGTAGTCGTAGTCGCAGTCGTAGTAATCACAAGGGCAGCCTAAGACCTAAGGAAAGGGATGTTTTTCTAATAAAGGCAGCGTGGGGGGGTCTAGTGACTAGACTCTAGTCCAACCTCGGGTGGTGTGACGTCCTGAAGACGACGAGCTGCGACCTGACATCCCGCAAGTGCTGGTGAAAAAAGTCATCGTCCAAAGTGGTCTGCATGTTAGCAGCGAGGTGACAAAAAAAGGGTAAAAAAGTTTTTTTTCATCGATATGTCACACAAAAATGGTAAAAAGGGGTTTCAGAAAGGGACAAAGATGCGGAAGGGAATCGGAGAGGGCATGGGGCTGGTGATACGTCATACCGCTATCGCAGTGCAGCGCCATCGTCGGGCGAAAACTTTACTTTTTTAAGAGTAAGCTTATTACTGGTGTTGCCAACGCAGGCGCAAGGGCCACGCAAGCGAGGTGCATGCTATGCTGGTCGGCCCGGTGTCGCGTCGTGGCACAAAGCTATATATCACAATGCCAGCTCCCGCCGCTGCGGCCGATATAATATATGCCATGAAAACTGCTTGAAGGCTTTGTTGTATAATGAAGCCCAAATCCGAATTGCGGCGCCAAACAAGGCCATAACAGGGAAAACCACCGAATCCCAACCGACTCCAACCAACCAACCATACATACATACATGCATGCACAATTTCCTGCCCCCCCGGTGCACATTCCCGAGTGCATGTCGCCCGAGGGATAAAACCCATGGCTGCCAAACTGCCTCTCTTCCCGTGAAGTGAACGTAAGAGCCAAGCCCGCGCCGGGCCGCTGCCGTTATACTACTGCCAAGTGCAGCGGGCACACCAGCCACACACGAGCCGCAGAGAGCTTCTTCCCAGACCAGACGCGCTCCCGACAGACGCTAGGCAAGGAAGGGTGCATGTGCAAGGAGGTACACACGGTGCACATGTGCGCGCGCAGACACACATACACACGCACATCCCCCTAGGGAGCAGCACACAGCAAAAAGCGAGCTGTGTGGCGCCACCAAGGCGCCCGCGCGCGCTAACCTTTTAATTCACATCAGGGTCTCTAAAGCAGGTTCATCAGGGGCACTAAAGCAGGTTCATCAGGGTCTCTAAAGCAGGTTCATCAGGGGCACTAAAGCAGGTTCATCAGAGTCTCTAAAGCAGGTTCATCAGGGTCTCTAAAGCAGGTTCGCGCGTATGCTCTGTGCATGCCTACGTACGCGGTCCACATGCGTACGAGTGTTTGCGTACCAAGTCCTCAATAAGTTCGACGGAAGCAAGGTATTCAAAATCTGAGAAGTACACCAGGTGGAGAAGTTCTCTGGAAGGGGAGAACTCAGGACGAAGCATCGGCGCCAGAGCCATCAAAAGGTCCGCCCGTTTGCAACTCGCCTCAACGCGCACGCCCACATAAGTGGCGCGAGCGCGGCCCAGGCAGTCAATCACCAGCACCTGCAAAAAAGCAAAAGCCGGCAAGTTGCAGGCCACGATGTCACGCTTACACAAGTTTCCACTCAGGGTTTCCTCTTGGGTTCCGCGAGACATTCATCATCATGAGGCTTTTCATTTATACAGAGGTATAAGATAGGAGATTTGCGTACGTAGGGGGCAATCTACAACAGCAATGTGTAGAGCAGGCAGGCGGCGGGGTGGGACGTGCCCCAAGGTAGCGGCTCAAGAGGTCCACCTCGCCGTGAGTCGAGTCCCTCCACCCGCTTGCGGTGGCGGTGGCACCTCACCCATTCCCCACGCACATCATCTTCCCCCGTGCTCTGGCTCCGGGGTCAAGAAGCAAACGCTTCCATACACCTTCCATAATGTGCACCTCCCAGACCACAAGCTGCACCGCGTCAGAAGCCTGGGTCCAGAAGCAAACACCTTATTCCGCGACGCTGTGTTGCCTAGCCAGGGGCTGGGAGAGCGCCCCGGCTGGCGTGAGTGAGTGCGTGAGTGAGTTAGGCGCGCGGAGGAACAGCCCGACCCTGTGCTGCTGCTGTGTTTCGGGCCCCCCCGTCAGGGTCCCCGGTGCTCGTCCTGCCTCAGGACGAGCTCCCCACAGTGTAACGCCCCCCATCAACAACAACGATTGCGTCAGGCCGCCCTCCTCCTTTGTTTTTGCAGAGCTTTGGAAATCCGTGGATGATCCATGATCCATTCTTCCTTGGATCTAGAATCCACTCTCATATGCGCTCCGCACCACTCCAGCCCCCACTCCAGCCCCGAAGTAAAAGTAACTCCACGCAGGCGCACCTCCCCCCCCGCCAAACCTTCAAAGAAGCCCCTTCAAGTTAGCGGGTAATCACCCGTGGCAAAAAGGAGCATCGCATCGTTCCGTTTTGCCGCGTTCACACGCACCTTGCGGACGCGTTCCGTAGGGATTGGGATGGCCTGACTGGCAAGCGCCGGCGGCAACAGCACCTTCAGGTGCCTAGCCTTGTGCTTGTACCTCCCTGATGAAAACGCGGCAGCAGTACCAGCAGCAGTAGCATGTTGGCCGACAAGGGGCCGTCAGCGGCGGACAACGGTGTTTGGTGTTTGACAACATAACACGTGACGAAATCTTCTGGATTTGAAAAACGGATGCAGTAAGCACCTGCCCTGCCGGTAAGGCACACCGAATGGGGACATTGGTGGCTCACTCGTGCCAATACTCGTGCCAATACTACTAACTAGACCAATACTAGGAACTACACCAATACTACTAACTAGACCAATACTACTAAATAGAGGTCAAAACCGTGAAATCTCATTTACCGCGTGAGGAGAGTGTGAGGAGAGATGGATAGGGAAGGGCAATCCAAACGAGCTGTTAAGGCTACGGCGCCATCATCCTCCGCGTCCGTCAGCCGAATTACAAGCCAAATCCAACAAACCCACCTCCGAATCACAAGCCAAATCCAACAAACCCACCTCCGAAATGGCCGAAGGTCTTGTCAAACAGGTTCTCCAAGGCCAATCTGTCGCCGATATCTTCCGCCGGCGCGGAGGCGTCGTAATAGAAGCCGAACCGCTCCAAGCGCCTGGCGAGCGAGTCGATCGTCTGACCCCGGGCCGCCTTTTGCGATACACACCACGACAGTACGACATTTACGAAAGCACCATTGTTGGTAATGGACATACTTTTGAGATGGTGGCGGTGGGGGAGGTGGCGAGAGCAGGGCTCCCAAACACAGAACTTGCAAGGGATCCACCTACTTAAGAAGACACCTACCGAAAGGCCTGGACGACGTGAGAACTGCGGGAAGCTGCGAAAAGCACGGCCCTTGTAACATGTCTGTCTGTGTGTGTCTGCCTGTCTTTAGACATCATATGTATGTATGTATGTATGTATGTGTTACACCTCGATTGCGTTACACACAGAGAGGTGTAACGGGTGCCCATTCGAGCCAGATAGGGGCCCAAGTACTATGTCGGTGTGTGTGTGTGTTTGTATGTGTGCATGTATGTTTCTGTCTATCCTTAGCACTATCTGGAATTGCGTTACCCTTCAAAAAAGTGTAACTATGCCTGGAGGGCGCCCATACCTGGAGTGGGCCCATACCTGCCAAAAAAGGTAGCCCTGAGAGAGCCCAACTGTTTTAACGACTGAGGACTCAGGATCCCTGCAACCACGTTTCCACTGCGTACCTTAACTCCAAATCTAAGCACGCCCAGCTCAAAGGCCAAGCGATCTGTGCTGGGGTCTGGTAAGGGCCGAAGCGTGCAAACCCTCCGCAAGGCCACTGCAGCTGGTTCTTCCGAAGGATTCTTCACTGCGATGTTTGCTACTGCTGCTGCAGCTGCTGCTGCTTCTTCTGCTGCTGTGGGTGCTGATGGCGAAGGTTCGGCGGACTCCTCTGACGTGGCAGGAGGTGCCGTACCCAACGGCCTAACCGTTCCCGGTACCGTAGGCATGGGGCACGCCATTTGGGTCGCCGGTTTCGGAGGCGGCAAAGCAGGGTTAATCGGCCCGGATGCATGGTATTCGGAGTGCACAAGGTTCCTGTTGTTGCCTTCGCGGGCCGCCTGGCGCAGACGCCTCCAGTAACCCAGCGGTCTGGCGTTCGCGTGGTCGCGCTCCCGTGCACCTTTTTGTCGAGGAAGAGAAAACAGAAACACGCGGCGGGGAACTGAAAAATATGCGATTTGGGTCGGATGCAAAAAGGTGTTGTTGAAGCAAGGATGGAAGCAACGGCACAACCCGGAGTTCCGTATTTACAAAGAGAAAGCGAACTTGAACGTGTGCGGTATTGAAAACGAGTCATTTACCAATGGGTCATCCAAACTATTACATCAGGGAGGCAAGTCGCGCCAGAGGAGAAGCGTACAGATAGCGATTCCCATTAGGTTGGGGAGAAAACACGTGGGTAACCACGTGGCTGTGACAAGTTCACAGTTACTGTTATTTTCTTGCCCAGATGAGAAGGAAGCACAGGATGGTGAACGACATGAAATCCGCATGAAATCTACGACGAGCGTGAAAACCCTCTGAAACAATAGAAGGGATCACGATAAGAGATGCAGCCTAGCCCCCGATTTATTCCCCCACCTCAATCCGGCAGGAATTCAAAGTAAGATCCGAGTCCATTAACATTGTTGCGAAAATTGTCGGCTAGCTCACCTGTACCCCAAAATCGACATTCAGATGCCTTGACGTCGCAGACAAAGCAGAAGCACTGCATGTGTCACCCGCGTGCAAGCAAGGGAAGCATGGGTCAACCAGGGCTGTTGGGGAAAAGGCCCCTCGTCAATCATGCTGACGCCGACGCACGAAGCGTTGTGCCGATTTTAGGAAGCAGGTAGTTACCTGACGGCAAAATAAAGCGTTGGACCTGGCCGCGGCCAAAGTAAAGTGCTTTTCGGCGCAGTCGGGTCGAGGATGCGGTAGGTCGCGAGTCGCCACCTGTTACGGCAAGGTGGGAACAGGGCGGCAAGCCAGCGCAAGCCCCGTGGGCCGTGACAGAGCTGTCCATTGTCGGCTCTGCGGAGAGCGCAGCTATGAATCCTGTCAAACTAGTGAAGGTAGTCCTTACCTGGCCCGTCGTAGCTGTGATGACCAGGTCATTATCGCCCAGGTCCGCGTTGGCCAGCGAAGGACGAGGCCGCGGCCTTACCCTTACAGGCTCGACAACTATTACATCGCCATCGCCCGCATCGATGTTAAGCCTGGCACCAGTCGGCTGGCATCTTCGCCTCTTCTGCGCCGGCTCGTTGTCTGAATCGCTGCTCAGCGTCAGGTCTACTGTTTCTGTAGGCATGGTTATCCTGCGCGCTCTGTTCTTGGCAAAAGCACCGAAACGAGAGCCCTTACGTCGTTAACTGCCTGAGTAGACCTAATGGAATCGACATAACTTGCATCAGCATTATAAGAGGCTTCGTAATAATGTAGGCTTGTGAAGTCACAACGCTGAACGTTGCTGCGCCAGCAGTAATTCGCAGCCCAAGGACCCTATCCTGCTCAGTTTAGGACGTCTAGGGCAATATCAAGATGTATGCGATAGGATAGTGGAAGTCTTGACATCGTGGCAGCCGCAACTGCAAGGCGGCAAAGCTTAATTTTCCCTACTTGTAAAGGCCAAAGCGAGGCAGAACCAACTTCTTCGCCTGGAAGATGGTCAATGATGTTGGAAACGTCTATTCGGTCAGTGTCGCACGAAAGCCATAAAGTGGAATACTCTCTGCATGCATGCTAAGCACCCATGCTGCCTGCTCAGCATGCGCCGCGCATACAGTGTCGTACATCTGGATCTATTTTGGTATTGCTATCCTCTTCCCTCATAGCCACAAGTGCTCTACATCGTGAAGCTAAATTCGATGTGATCAATGGCAGGCAGGTATGCAAGGCTGCCGTCCAGTACCAACGAACAAGATTGTGATTTTGCTCGGTGTTCCTCTCATTTACAAGGCCCCAACATATTGCAAATGAAAATTTCAACTGGAACTGACATCTTCCATCGCTATCAATACATGCTTGCCTATCGGAAGCCTGTAGGTTTGGGACAGCAAAAAAACAACGCAGCAAAGGAATGCCACTGTCTTTGGCCACGACTAAGCCTGCATTCCTGCTTTTATGCACGTTTGCTGGGCAGTTTCAAGTATCCATAGCGCGCCCCAGATACGACAGCGACGGCGGGGCAAATTTCAGCTGGGCGGCAATAGCCATTGCAGGGCATTCCTTAAGACCCGGAGCAATCTATCGCTAGCTTGATTATGTTTGCCCGACACTGCTAGCGGATTGTTAAGGCTCCCGCTCCCAGCACTTGATGCTACCTGGCTTTGGCCCAAGACGGGGACCCTTGGATTGATATGTTAGCTGCAAAGGTAAGAAGTTTTCTTGAGTAGTTGCCTTACTGCTTTGGGGTCGTACAGATGGAGGGGTACCTGCAGGAAAGTTGTGTTTGCTTCCGTAGGAGGGGCCTGGTTACCGAGCGACTCTGTTTCTGAACGCTGTAGATTAGGCAGAAGCCGCAGCGGAAACCTGTCAGTACTGACGCTATGAACTCGCGAAATTACTCTTTCCGTCGCACTCCTGTACGGTCCAGCCGTACGCACCAACGACACTCAACCGAGTAGGCTCTCGGCAAGTACACAGAAAACCTTGGTTTTCTTTCGTTTCACTCAGAAAACCTACAGTTCCATCAGTACCCGGTCTAGCTGATTCGGGTTTGATTTTCTTTCTTTTCCCACCATGCAGCCAGCCGTAGGTCTCGTGCTTTCCCCCAATCCCAAGCCCATACCGCAGCACCTTAACTTCTACCTAACATGGCACATTTGGTTTAGGATGAGACGCAATCGCATTTCAGAATAATACTGCCTTCTCATCTAGTCACCCTACCCAACTTCTCAGTGGATCGCTTAGGTTCCGCACCTGCCACCTGCATCCAACTGAATCTGCCGGATCGACGGCGGCTCAAATCCATCTCGAATAATAGCTTTGTCCCAGGTCACCATCGTCCATGGGCACTTTACCTTCATTTTTCGGAAGAATTTTCGAATTTGACAGGTTTCGATCCCGGGGTTCTCCCGGGGGTACTGGTGCGTGCTCGACCTGATAGTGTATATACGCGTATCCTAATTGCGTGGTTCATGAGGCTCCTGGTTCATTTGGGCCTTACGAACCCAAGCCTACTTGTAACATCACCGTCAAGTTAGTGACGTATATGGCCACATACATGTTCCGTTCCAACGAACGTTCCACCTTTCCTACGGAACTATATTATTTTTCCTTCCTTCAAGTTGTTTTGGATTGTCCTCTCCGGAGAGAGAGAGAGAGTGAGAGAGAGGTCAGTTAGAGCTGCCGGTGTGATGGGGTAATGAGCCTCTGGTAGTGAATGTACAGTGCGTAGCATGCAGGCTATGCTAGGGTATGCACAGCCCTTTGCAGGTTTCAACACAAAGTACACAAAATCCACGCCTGTAAGATCGTGTTGGATATGGCTATGAAGGAGCTCGGATACCACCTCCCTTTGCTTTGGCTTTTGGAACTCTTTGTCATCACCTTCTCTAGCCTAGCCTAGCCTTCTAATATCCTCTGATCAGCATCCAATCCGCAACTGACCTAATTATAGGATGCATGTTTACTTGTCGCTAGTAAGGCTCAGCAAAGCTAAACCCTGCCACTTCCTCTAGATTCCTTTCCGCTGTAATTACTACACCTCAGTTCGGTAAGGCCCACAGTCGCATGCCTTAATGTACAGTTATCGGCTACATTGTTCCTCATGGCCGGTCACGTTGTACACAAATAGCATCATAAATGATGTTTATAAAAGTATTCCTGTGGCTAATTTTAGCTACTGGATGTGTTTCTGCATCTTGGGACCTGCTATCGACTGCTGGGGCCCTACATGACACTGCGGATAGGCAGCTCGGCTTCCGGCCACAGTGGGATGAGGTCAAGACTGAATTCGCTGGTGAGTCGAATAAAAACTTCTCCAAAATACTTGATATCCCAGGTGTTTAACGTCTTACAAAGGAGTCCGGAAATATGTGATCGACCCCGATGTCGAATAGAAATCGCAGCTCCTGCCGTTCGCATCCTGCTGCGAATGTCCTAAAGACGACTACCCACCACCGGCCGAGGTATCGGATTTAATGTCCTTGAATAATATGTATGCTCATTTCTATTTGCTAGCTTTTGCAGCAGCATTGGTACTGGTAGCGACATTTAGTCGCTGATTCAAGTGATGCTGGTCTTGAGTGCATTGTCCGGGGATACAACCATTTCATAAATTACTAACATTTTACCGTTTCGGCATACCTGCTGGCCTATATGTTATCAATCTGTTTCAATTTTCGAATGGTGCTGGAGCGGTCCTTCTCCACTTTAAGCGGACAAGGTTGATGCTTCAAAAAAAGATTATCTTATGGCGCGAAAGGCACAAGCGATAAGTGCGCATGAGCGGGACAAGGTTGAGATGAAAGCGAAAGTACGGGTTCGCAGTGGAAATTCAAGGAAGTCGATGGGCTCCAGCGAAAAGCCTGTACAAACCAAAGAACAGGTAAGCAGATCACCGCATAAACCTCATATATAACGTACAAGCGCTCAAATTATTACTTCGGATTTTGTGAAGGAAACTCCGAGGGCGGAATTCGGGTAATCGAATAGCGTCCAGCTGCTACGGCACCGTACTTTTTCGTCTCCTTCAAGGAATGCCTTGTCCTACCAGCCAAAATAAATGTCCGCGTACCTAAATATTTTATCTCATTCGCGGCTATTATTTACGATGTGTTCCTGAGACTCATCCTCACACCTTTTTTCCTGGGCCTGGTGGCATGCCACGACTTAGGGCGTAACATTCGCCTGAGATGGAAGGACAGAACCTATCTCTTGAATAACAGCTACTACTAAGCCTTCGTGTACAGACTCCTACCCGAAACATTCAGCCTTAATGACTTTGGAATGTCATGACTTGGTGCTCAACATCCAGGGGCGCCGCAACTACCCGCAAGGAAAGGAGATGTGGGAAGCACCGGCCAGCCTTGAAAATCGGCCAAAGTATTTTTACCCGGTATTGACTTTTGGTAAGCTCCCTAGAGGCTAGCCCGAGTCTGAACCTGTGCTCCGTACGCTTCCTTAACACTGACCCTGAAATTCGTCGCCGCGTGCAACCGGTGGCCCCGGCATCAGTGTCCGAACCCACTCATCCGGTCAAGCGTTCTGTTGACTGTCCAGGCCACCACCACCGTTGCTTAACAATGTATTCCACCTTTCATCCCCTTCCCTCGGCATGGGAACCCCTTCCCTTGCGGATAGAATTATGTGTGAATGTGTATTGCGTCTATAAAATAAAATAGAAACCCAAGAATTATCATCTCCGTTTGCATGTGAGCCCATGCCCCCTGGGCCCCGCTGCAAGTGCGTCCATTCCCGCTGTTCGCAATGTCTTTGTAACGCCATTTTTGGTTTTCCAACAGACCCTGCCCCTATCCCCCCTGCCTGAATCTCTAAAATACAACCCGTCCCCGAAATGTAGGGCCCAATAACCAGATCGCCGGCCTGAAGGAGGTGCTAGTGTTAGGGCGGCTGCTAAACCGTACCGTTATAGTCCATGATGTAAGACAGCGTGACAGTGCACATCACGCAATTCTTCTCGCAATAAATACTTATCAATCGCAATTAACGCACGAGATATACATGTGTGTCAATCACGTTTGCATGCAGTTGGTGATTCTTCTGCCAACGGTAACAAAAGCCATTGTTAAAAATAGCCACCAGCCAGACCAGTCCTCGGCTAGCTCCTCGGGTGTCGGTTGACGGGAAGAAAGTTGGTCCTTTCGGTTGCAATTGCAGTTATCATATTGTACGGTTTTGGTGGTTGGTCCCTTAACTGAACGTGCGACGAGGGGCAACCGTACTACGCTTACGCTTCGTTGTTTTGCTGCAATCGGCATCATTGCACCATGTCCACAAACACGTGACTTCGGCGTTGGATTTACTGTTAAGTGTTTGACTCAGCTGTAATTGTGAAAGGCCCGAATGCTATTTTGAACGTGGATGATGTGGTGGCTAAACACCGTCGCACTGCATTTTGCTGCTGTTGCTCTTTTTCGGCTGCCTTGCTTTACCGCACTTGGTGTGGTACGTGCAAGCAGTCTCGGGTGTTAGGTTCCATGGGGGCCCGTACCGTCGTCATTCGTTGGGCTCGTGATTGTTACATGCTGCCACTGCCACTGCCACTGCTACTGCTACTGTTATTGCCACTGCTACTGCTACTGCTACTGTTATTGCCGCTGCCGATGCTACTGCTACTGTTATTGCCACTGCCGATGCTACTGCTACTGCTACTGCTACTGCTACCGCCACAGCTTCTCATCCACTATACGGAGCATAAAGGTGCATTGGAAGATGGTCAGATGTTATCATTAGATTTTGATCAGGTAAGTTCATCCTTTGTGGTCAGGAGCAGGATGGGGGACGGCAGACGTGCATGTACATGCGCAATTTCAAGGTGGGCGTTATGGGGTTCTAGTGTGGGAAGGTTGAGGAGGACGTTGGATTTGCGTGAAGGTCAGGAAGCCGATAATTCCAGCAGGCAACGTCTCCAACCATCATATGCCTCTCAGTTGCAGCCATCTATTTCAGCCTGCGTACGACCCAGTGATGCCAATAAATTCAGAAACTATTCGTCTATCTCTTTGTGAAATTGTATATCCTTGAAGCAACTTGCTCTTTATTGTGGGAGTCTACTTGGCAATTTCAACAGTACGACATATAATGTGTGGGATATATTATATATAGTTTATGTAATATATGATATATAGGGTATAATGTGTGGGATATATTTTTGTCATTCGTCGACATCCCGCTTCCCGCCCCACCTGGCTTGTTACGTTGTTTGCACGCCGTACCATCGTACCGCCTCACTGGCCTTTTTGAATGCACTCTACCGTCGGTACTGCCGAGCGTGACATGTGCACGAACGTCGTCTACGAACACGGCTCGTATCTTCCTACATACATTACCCCATCCGTCGTACAGGTGTTCAACTTTGACCGCCTATCCCAACACCATAATGTCGTACGGCTGAAGGATTTGGTTGGTAGCGGCAAATGGGACGCAAAGCTGGATGCTGTAGTGTACTTTGAGGATAAGTATTTGCCACAGGTGGGATATAATGTGTTTTGTAGATGTGGATTTGTGGGTGGATGTTCGTGGACGGTGAACGACCGTGTTGTGGTTGTTCTTATATAAACATCGCCTAAAACGCAGCGCAGCGTTTGAATTGCAAATGCAGCTATGGAAGTGCAATTGTAATGTTAGGAATTGAACTATTCATCACCTGCTCTTCTCCTTCCGCCTTGCCGCCGCCTTGTCTCTTTCTGGTCCCTTTGCCTGACGGCTCCACTTTTTATAATCTCAACCCCTCTCCACGCCTTTTCATCAATTGACAAAATAGATCTGTGCTGCGATTGATATGTGGTCTGTGCAGCGTCGTACCCCTCTCCAGCCGTTTTATGTGTTTCGCTTAACCCGGGTGGTCATTATTATGCCGTACCGACAGATAAAAACCGCAATAGCGCTCAACGTGACTGACAACGGAGCCGATTACATCAAGCTCAAGGCCTTTAACTGCAGCAAAGGCGAGCTTGCAGCGATGGTCAAGAAGTTAGAGCCGTACGAGCATGTCGGCATCATAACGTACGAACACGTCGTGAAGGACGCTGGTCATGGAATGAAGTTGTACAAGACAGGAAATGCCTGCCACGACGAGTTTCTGCAGGTGATGAACTTAGGGTTTGCGTGCGCGCATCGGTACTGCTGGCCGTTTGGTCAAATGGGTGCGTGGGGTTTGGTAGTTGTTAGTTTAGTTAGTTAGTTAGTTAGTTTAGGCTTTGCATCGGAAGTGCAACGGAGGGGCATGCCGACGCTCGCGCGGCCGTCACCAATATTTCGTTCCCAATAATGAACTGAATGTGTGCTTATGTAGTAAAACCCTAAGGGTGCATTTCCAGTGCGGATTAAGGCCAGGGATTAACCCTCTGTCCTCCATCGATACCTGCTCAAACGGCTAAGTTGTTGGCAAACTTACCTCGCCTTTCCAACCTTTGGTCCCCTTATGGGGTAAAACTATGTGGTAAGCTCGTACCAAGGACTTCCGTGCCCTAATCCCTGGCCTTAATCCGCACTGGAAATGCACCCAAAGTTACCGTTTCTGACTCCTGAGGTTCTGGCGTACGGAAAAAAAATTAAATGCACAGAATAATAATATCCCGCTGCATGCTTATCATGTTTTCAGAAAATCGCCCGTTCAGGCGTTCGCCCGTTCGCCCGTTTTCAGAACATCGCCCGTTTGGAACAGCGAGTGCCCGTTCATACAGCTAGACCCCGAGCAAAGTGTGGATCCCCCCTGCCAGGAAATAGCGGGTTGGGGTAAACCTCCCTCCACGCGCCTATTTTCCCTATTCCCTATTTGGAAAATTAAATGGCCGTGTTTCTCTGTGTATATATATATATGTGTGTATATATATGTGTATATATATATATGTGTGTGTGTGGACAGCATCTAGGACAGCATCTAGCCGAGTCTAAAGCTTGAGCTTGAGCTTCTGTCTGTTTTGCGTACCCGTCCAACCATCGACATGCTATGTAGGTAACCCCTGCCCTGACTAAGAGTAAACAGATCATACAGTTGGCGAAGGACTTTCGAGAGAAGCGGCTCGGAAACCAGAGCTACATTGCCGTACATATACGGCCGTACCCTGACCCATGTGAGCACAGCAGTCGAGCGAGACTTCCGCCGCCACGGTGTGCCGGTGCATAACAAGAGTAATTATTATTGTGGCCTATCGATCGCTTGAACATGAATAAACGTCCAAGGGTGACGCTCAGGGCTTGTATGCACATATGTTTGTCTGTGTGGCCACGCGGGCGGAGGTCACCCTAGCTATGTATGCGGTGAGACTCCTAGCCTCCCCCGTACTTTCCGTCCATGACCCCCCGGCTTTTACGGGGGCTATAACCTCCCCCGCATTTGTGCGGAAATTGCAACTTGTACATGGCAGTAATGACCTCTCGGAGAGCAGAGGAGCTGTCATGTCGCGTGTTCTTGTACCGTGTTCCGTTGGTTGTGGCTACGTCACCCGCCATGCTGGGGAGCACGGAGACCATGATAAGTAGACAGACAAACTACAAACTGACAGACAGAAAGACAGACAGAAAGACAGACGGAAAGACAGACAGGATTACCGACCATGGTTCTAGATATTTGTTTCTCTCTAAATCTCAGCCTCTTCATATCCTGCATGTCATAACGCACTCCTCACATGTCAGCTGTAGCGTTGTCAAGGCTGTAACTGATTCCGCCTTGGTCTTGCTGTGTTATATTCGCTCTTATTCTTTTCCAAACCCTAAAACCCAATTTCCTCCCTCCTTGTCCCGCTTCTCCTGCCTCTCCTGCTTTCCTCCATTGTCCCGCTTGCACACGTATTCCCCCTTAATCCTTCACTTCTCCTCTTCCTTCACCTCTCCTCCTCCTCCTCCTCCCCCCGCCTCCTCCTCCCCCCTCCTCCTCCTTCACCTCTCCTCCTTCACCTCTCCTCTCGGAGCGCAACGTTGGAAAAGACCTTGTTTCCTTGCGTATGATGTCCCGCTCCTCCCACTCCAGGTCTGTACGTGTGGCGCCACCCCGAGGTAGAGGCCGACGAGAAGATGGCGAGGAACATGTGTAAGAACCCTGGTCTTAGCAAGGTTTGTTGGTGCCGGAAGGGAGCGTGGCTTTGAATTGCGCACGTGGGTAAAGGACTGTGAACGATTGCGGAATGAAACGAATGAACCCATGCAACGGATTTGTGGAGTTTACTTGGCGTTATGGACGGAGGGTCGGCAACCTTTTCGCCTGTCTGTCTATCTGTTTGTTTATCCGTGTACCTACCTGATAATCTGCCTGTTTGTCTGGCCTGCTGGCTAGTGCAGCAGCGTGCTAGGTTCCTCCCGACCTTGTGCGCTTAGTCCTCACTTGCGGTTGCAACAGCAATAGTTGGATTGAAGACAATGGCTGACCACATCCGTCGTGTTGCCCAGCCGCGGTTGGGCGGCCACTTTTGCGTTCTTTCCTTTCCCTCCATGTTCGTACACCAGCGGCCGTACCTTGCCGTACGCATGCCCACAATCCGCCATCTTGTTTAGGCACATATAGGTGCGGGAAGAGACCCCATGCTAACACTCACACCACTAAACCCACTCACGAACACAGAAAGACAGACAGACAGACAGACAGACAGACGAACACGAAGAGGGCCACAGGACACCTCCGATGGGGAATGGGGACTCCCTGCTCGCTGACCTCTTAACGGCTTGCAGGTGTTTGTTGACCAAACAGTTCATGCCATGAAGGAGAAGAAGAAGAAGAAGCAGAAGCGCATAAACGGCCTGTTTGTCATGTCGTACCCATCTATTCGCACCCGCATTACCGAGATGTACCGTGCCGTGGGGCTGGAGCCCACGTTCCTGGAGGGGGACGATTTGGACGCGATGATGGGCTATACGTGAGTACGTACATACAGGCTGGGTCCAAATATGGACCATTGCCTGATTTGGCAACCTTTTTTAATCCGGCGGAGCCCTGCTACGCACCAAGTTTACATACGGGAAATACCCACTTACATGAAACCCTAAGTGGGAACCATTTATGGATGATGTACAACCGCTCATCGATCGAACGTGAAGGATTATCATCGCTTGACCGTTACTGCTTGACCGTTGCTGCTTGACCGTTGCTGCTTGACCGTTCCTGCTTGACCGTTACTTCTTGACCGTTACTGCTTGATCGCTACTGCTTGACCGCTACTGCTTGACCGCTACTGCTTGACCGTAAGCGCTACAGCCTGGGCCTGACTGGGCATATGTTTGACCCTTTCAACGGTCTCAAAACACGATCTTGATGGTATAGCTGTCCGGAGCTATTAACACGTGCTGTTGCCGTATCACCGTAACCACGGGCCCGAGCCAGCATCTTGACACACGTCATGGAACGCATAAAAAATACAATGGGACCTCACCCTCAACAGGAGCGTCTCTCTGTTGGGATTGGTGGAGGAGGAAATAGCAGTGGAGGCGGACGTTTTCATTGGAACGTCGTACAGCAGCATGACGGGGTTCATCTCGCAGGTACGGACTGCAAAGTACGGCACCACGTTAGTGCAGCGCCGCCACGTGGGGGTAAAGATTGAAGTCGGGATTGAGGTGGTGGTGGTTGCAGGTGGGATGGGTTACTACTTAAACCTACGTTAAGCAGCAGCATAGAGGACTGGGTATGAAAACGTACGGCATTACGACGACGACAGGACCATGGCGTACGGCACAACGTTGGCATGTTGCATTTTCCCTTAGCATGCATGCTATCGCCCTCCGCGTTTGGTTCCTCGTTAACCCCCCCAACACGCACGCCTGCTTTGCAGCAGATAGGCGATACCGCTATAGGATCGTTAGGGCTTCAGTAATAGGAAAGAAAGGACTTTCTTCGGCTTTCCAGGGGGAGTGTTGTGCATAGCAGCTGTCACATTGTTCTCCTTGTCACCCCCTCCCGTGTGAATGTCACGTAACCGATCACCCTTCTTGCCTCCAGGAGCGCTTTTCTCGCGGCATTCCGTTAAGTCGCTCATTAACCTTCACCAAGACGAATAATCACTGAAGGGTGGCCATTCGCGCATGCACGCTATGCTATGCCCGCGCCACCGTACTCACCAGGTAAATTCGGTTAAGGCGTTCGGCAAACGTCTTCCAAACCGTACGTTACCGTGTGGGCTAAATGTAAGATTATCCGATTCAATGAGACGTCGCCGGTGGATTGACAGGCGGCTTCGTACAGATTACCGTTGTTCGTTTATGTGCTATCGGAGTGAGTCAGCAACTGTTTCAATGTCTTTTCTTTCCTATTCTTGCTGCCGTTTTTCTGCACAGGGCGGGTTCAAATTGCGCGATTGTTTTTTGCCATAATTTTCCTAAATACTGTCGCTGTTCTGTTTTTGGCGGGACGTAGGGCTCGAAAGTGAACTAGTTATAAAATGGAAAAAATTGTCCTATGCGACCTAACTTGACGTATTTTGTGATTTGGGGACTGAAACGTAGTTTAATTATCATGCCGGAGATCTCAAGATGTTGCTTTTCGTGCATTTATACGTGTTTGGAAGGTTAATTTGCAGTTCGACTCTGTCTGGATTCTTAATCCCTATATTGTTGGAGTTCGGCCTGTCTGCCATGCTTGTTGAGTCTGCTCGATGTATGCGGTAATTGGTTCCGCAGCTGGTTCGGAGCCATCTCCGTACTTGCCTTAACCATTCGTCTCCTGAGGTCTGATCCTTAAGAGAAGCTGAAGCTGGACAGGTTTTACCACAGCTAAACAGGCCAGCTTCAACGAAGAACAGACGCAAGTATAGCCCTGCAAGTATAGCTCAGCGATGCTGCAATCACTTTTATGTACGACAAAAAAGAAAAAGCACTCCAAACAAGGACAAAAAACTTCTCTCCAAAGCACTAAGGAACGGGACGTACAAGTGATACGCGAACGGCAGGAAGTAGCTGCCCGGGCTGAACCGAGTGATGTTACACCACACAGTACGCTTATAACGGAAGGCGAAATGGAGGATCTCAGAAATAATATATATAGCCGAGATCAAGAGCTGCTTGGCACCGTTTTCTGAGGTGATGCCCCAGATTCTTCTACAAGTTTTGTCTCTCCTCGCTGGACCGCCTGAAATACTGGCGCGGTCATGGAAGCACGGCTCAAGCTACAGGATGTTGTTATGCGGCCCAGTAAAGCAGAGGAGCAGCGCGCACGACCACACAGCCGGAACCCATTATGTTCCACACCTGGACACAGATTTCTCCTCCAGGTGCTGCCAGAGGACCAAGTTTCCACGACCGCGAGCAGTTTGGAGGAAACACTTCAAGACTCCTGCCCACCTCGCGGGGACCCAGATCTGGATCTCCTTCAGATCGACATGCTGCCCACCGCAGGGCTCCTTTCGGGGAAGACTTCATCCCCTATAAGTTCTGCCTCTCGGATCCGTCTGGCCGTCTGGTGACTGGATTAGCGCCGCATTCCCAGCCGCAGCAGCGCTGCTGTGCAGCTGCATCCTTTAGGCAGAGGGCAGCTAGACACCCTAGCTGCCCACTCACAGCGCTCTCAAAAGTACAGCAAATCTTTGAGGCACCGCCCATAACGATTGATCGATTAATGAAGCAAGTTTCATGCACGAAAACGAAGTTACATGATGGGTGGGCAACCGTGGGCAACAGAACCAGCCTCCACCTCCACCACTTTCATCCCACCATTCTCTTTGCATTCCTGTTCGCGGCCACTGCTGTATCACTGAGCACAGCGCCGGTTGATCAACCATTCCGTTACAACCCCCGGGCTAAACAGCATTACATCCACCAATCACACAGAACGCAACCCACAACACAACACACCAACCTCATCTTACATCGCTTCAACACTGCTTCAGGTACGAACGGACGGCATAACTTGAGCCAGCCCGCAACTAAGGAATACAAAGCTTAAATTAAAGTAAAGCGTGGAGGCCTACAACGCACAACGTGACAATCGTTGGCCGCCAGCAGTTGGCCCAAACCCCCCCCACACTGCAAAATCCCCCCCGCCCCCGCCCCCGCCTTGTCTAGCCTCCGCCCTTTAGCATTGTGGTGATTTCTACTGATTGATTGCGGGCAACAGCACCGAGGATCCTGCCGTCCGATCCCATGTGTCAGGTCATCCAAATACTCGCTCTTCATGTCACTCTTCATTTCCATAACCCCCAGCCCCTTTCTCAATCATACTACCACTTCCCCTGCCACTTGCCACACCATCGCCTGCGTCCTGATTGTCACATCGTCCAACGTCCAAACGGACTCAACGGACAGAGACATACAGACATACAGAAATCACTAGTGCCACCCTGTAACAACATACAGAAATCACTAGTGCGCAGCACGTGCAGGCTGTTCACTGTTCATTGCTTCGACATGAGGAACAGACAACTTCACACACTCTTCTTCATAATACAAATTTCGCATACTTCACGCCTACAAAAGAGTATTTACGACAAATGACAACATTCTTTTTGTACTCTCGTTCGTCGCTTTACTGTACCAGTCACGAGGTCTTGGTCACAAAAAAAAAAAAAAAACACGGAAAAAAACGAGCTTGCTGTCTAGAAGAGCCGCAAGATAAAGGTCGTCGGTAACAATTTACTCTTTCGTAAGTAGTAAACACTCTGAAATTGATGGATGCCGTACCGCGTCGGTACGGAAGTAGGTAGACCAGGTAGAAATGACTATGTACAGCATAGAAAAAGGATCTTGAGGGGCATAAGCATAAGACGTACGGACGGCAACCCTTGCCCCTTCCTAGGCGGATTGATGCAACATGACATACACACGCCGTACGTGATGATCCAGACTGCGATGATGATCCAAAAAGAACAACGCGGAAAATGTCGTACATACCGTACAGATGTACGATCATGCCCGCACGGTCCCCACCTTTTTCCTACACATGTGCTCGCTTGCAGCACAGTAAACCGCAGCGCGCGGGAAGGAAAGGGAAGGGAGGGCAAGGGAAGCCCCGGGCCAGAGCCAGCACTTGGGGACACGCTGGAGCGGATGAGGAACTTTCTATCCCCAAGTCCATCCCCAAGTCCATCCCCAATCCCAATACCAATTCCATTCCCAGCCAGCGCCACCATCAGGTCGTCTTGGTGAAGGCCTTTGAATTCCCCGGCCAAACACCGTGTGCGAAGCGCTCCTGTAAAAACATGAGCCAGGGATGTCAAAAAAGGCAAATTATATAATGTATTATATTATACAGTCAGGTACTAAGCGCAATTTTTTCATGATTGCCCAGTTCCATAAAGGAGCCGTACGGGGATAATAACCCTAATGGTAACGAACATAACGGTCAAGAGGAGAAGGCAAACCAGGAAATGACGGGAGGTGATAATATAATAATAAGCAACGAAGCCAGGGGGAAGTTGTGTCGCAAGGAGGCTCCTCAGTGTGTCGTACATTCAACGGTTCCGACCGTTCAATTGTCGTACATTTCATGATGTCCAGTTCAGGCCTTACTCTTGTGCCGTACATTCAAACACTACTGAAGCTACAGAGGCCAGGTTAACATCCACCCTACCAGCTACCACCCGCTACCATAACAGTTGCTACGAATGTCGTACTATCGTACTGCCGTACTTCTCCAGTGTTTAGCTTCGTCACAATACCCTACCAACCCAAGTCATCCCCCCCGTCTCATCTTGACGACCTGCTTTGCATGTACGGCGCTGCGCTGTCGCCGTGCCGTACTTTACAGTCCGTACCTGCGAAATTATCCCCGTCATGCTGCTGTACGACGTTCCGATGAAGATCTTCGCCTCCAGTGCTATTTCCTCCTCTACCATTCCCAGCAGGGAGACGCTCCTGTTGATGGTGGGTCCAAATCATGGTGGGTCATCCAAGGGTCGTTCGTGGCGGCTCACGGGTTCACGTGTTTTTGTTACAAACACGTGAGTGCAAGTGCTGTTGGAGGCCGGTCACCGAAGAGGGGTTATTAACCACCATAACCTACACAACTAAAAACCAACTATACAAAACCAACACACTCGCACATATCTCCGGAATGTGGGAGGAACCAATGCGACCCCACCGGGCTTGGGCGCTTCTCTTTTACTGTTGACACTATAATTCAAATTCAGCACTTCGCGCAGCGCATGTCAGGATCGAAGGTAGCAACAAGGTTACCGTTTTTTTCCCAAATCAGGCAATGCGTCCATAAATGAATAAACAAATATAAATAATACACATGTAATATATATTACATTTGACGACCCGGCCCACACGTACGTACTCACTTATAGCCGATCGCCGCCTCCAAATCGTCCTCGTCGAAAAACACTGGCTTGAGTCCTTTAGTACCGTACAACTCCGTAATGCGATCACGAATAGATGGGTACGACATCACAAACAGCCCGTCTACGAGCTTCGTTTTCATGGCGTGAAGTGTTTGACCAACAAAGACCTGCACAGAAGCAAACGAGCGGCAAGTGGCAATCGAGGTTTTGTTTCGGGTTTGCAGAAAATGTCGGCCTGTAAAAAATACGTATCCCTAAAAATGAGGGCAGGAAATGGAGGCTCAAGGACGTTTGATCAGTTTTTTGCGGTTATCAGTTATCCATTGTGGGAGGATGCGTGAGCCACAGCAAGATGAGAGGCCTCCATCCTTGCTCGCTGTACGGCAGTGTAAACCCTTGAGCAAGAGACGTCGCGTAATACTGTGCTCATGACAAGACAGCAAGACATCGGGGGCCGTACAAACTTGCGCCGTACATATCTGTACATGGAGCATAGAACCTTGTGATGATGACGGCTGTCCGAAACGGCGGGACGGAACTCGGGTCCGTCACTTCATCGTCATCTTCAACATTTGAGTAGTTTGAAGAGCATCGTTTGAATCTTCTGCCACTCTGCCAGCTGTCAGTCAAACCCCCCATCTCCCTGATTAATGCGCTCTCGGAGACTGCCAACTAGCCAGGCAGCCAGTCAAACCAGCTCGCCTGTCTGTCTATCTGTCTGTTCTGTCTGTCTGCCAGGTCGCAAATTTCAATCCTTCGAGCTCTCCACTTCTTCAGCTCGTGCCAAAGATGCATAAGGCCTCACGGGGTGCTGTCGCGGTATCATGCTCGAAAAGCCTGTAGATCCAGCACCCCATCCTTCGAGCCCTAAGTAGCCAGCAGTCACACTTTTCAACCACGCAGAAATAGTAATGTTCCCTTCCGACACCAACAAACCTTTATGAGGCGCGGGTTCTTACACATCTTCTTAGCCATCTTCTCGTCGGCCTTTAACTCTGGGTGGCGCCACACGTACAGACCTGGAGTGGGAGGAGCGGGACATCATACGCAAGGAAACAAAGTCTTTTCCAACGCTGCGCTCCGAGAGGAGAGGTGAAGGAGGAGAGGTGAAGGAGGAGGAGAGGTGAGGGAGGAGGAAGGGAAAAACGTGTGCAAGCGGGGCGAGGGAGGAAAGCAGGAGAGGAATGGGAAAGCGGGACAAAGGGGGAGTTGGGGGAATTGTACGTCCACCTCTGCCCCAGAGAGGTGGCACTGGTAGGCTGGAGCGGGACAAAGAGGGAGGAAATTGGGTTTTAGGGTTGGAAAGGACAGACAAACAAAGCACACGAGGAGGTGAAGAGCGCAGGAGAGGGTTGGCGAGATCGTCGGGAAGAAGGGCTGAAGGTGGCGCGCGGTGTGTTTGTATGTATGTTTGCGTGTGCAGATGAATCCGGTCTGGATGGGTTGACGGATGGGGTGGTGGGGCCAAAGTGTGGCGGACTGACAGACCCGCGGGTCGGTGCTTCCGTCTTGTCTCTCTGTCCGTCCGTCCGTCCGTCTGTCTGTTTGTCACTGTAAATCCACCGCTGCCACAGACAGATAGCAAGTAGGCTGGAGCAGTGTAATCTGCAAAGCCCTAATTCCGTTGTTCAGCAACTCCGCTTAAAATTGGCGAGATTGAGGTTTGTCTGAAAAGAAATGGCGCAGATGCGAAGGCAGGTCGACCGCCAGCCTGCGACGCCGAAACGCAACCCGGTGTCTTAACGCTGTACGCTGCTTGGGAAATGGAGCCGCAACGCGGATGCATTTGTAGGGGGAAAATCGCTTTTAAATCTTCAAGTAAATTATTATTATCCGCCCACATTGCCATCGCCAACGATTTCCTTGACACCTTCCTTGGCAACCGGCAAAGTCTCAATTAATCACCTCGAGACTGTGCTCACATTTGTCAGGGTACGGCCGTATATGTACGGCAATGTAGCTCTGGTTCCCGAGCCGCTTCTCTCGAAAGTCCTTCGCCAACTGTATGATCTGTTTACTCTTAGTCAGTTGAGCAGTCACCTGCATGCGAAGGGAAGTGCGAAAGGGAGGATACTCACAGAGGCAGCCATCATGCAAGCATTGGCATGATATGGAGTATTAGCCATAATCCTGCCGTACTTATTCCGTACATCCCGTTTTTAAAAATTTAAAGTTGTAACGAATTCCTGGAACACATTACGCTACATTTTTGCTTTACATTTGAAAATTCACTAATACATTATTTAAGTCTGCACCTGTGCCCTCTGTCACTTAACATAACAACAAAAAGACCTCTCATGTCATCAAATGCTATCTGATTCTGTAGTACCCTGTAGGGCTTATCACGGGATCTGCATCCGCCGATCGGTACTTTTTCGAAGTCGTGATTCACGAACAGATTCGCACGGGCGAATTCCCCCCCAAGTCACTCACTATCCACACCCACACACATTTACACACATGCAAAAATATAAACTTTAAGAAATTACCAACCTGCAAAAACTCGTCATGGCAAGCGTCCCCAGTCATGTACAGCTTCACTCCATGGCCAGCACTCTGTACGACATGCTCGTACACAATCACGCCAACATACTTGTACCGCTCTAACTTCTTGACCATCGCTGCAAGCTCGCCTTTGCTGCAGTTGAAGGCCGGGAACTTGACGTAATCGGCTCCGTCGTCTGTCACGTTGAGCGCTATTGCGTTCTTTATCTGTCGGTACGGGATATGGATTTTAGTTCATGGATGGCTGTGAAGCGAGCTGAAGAGGCAAACAGATGACTTGGTGAGCTATCACTTTAAAGAAGCAAAGAATCAAGAGCTAAAGAAGATGATGAAGAGAAGGGACAAACATAATAATAAAACCTCCTCTCAAGGCTCGAGGTGTCTCAATTGTGTGCATGTATGTATGTATGTATGTATGTATGTATGTATGTATGTATGTATGTATGTATGTATGTATGTATGTATGACTTAGATTACACTGTGGGCCGCGAGAGCCGGGGGCCGAAGCCGAAACACAGCGCAAGGGTCGGGAGCACACAGCACAAGTCGGTTAGTCTTGTGTGCTCCCGACCCTGACTCAGACTGCCAACACTCTACGCAGCCACTCCGCAGCCCCTCCATCCGGGGATGGCGCTGCATTGAATACACCACGAAGGGCTCTCAGGTCCCGCTAGAGCGAGTCCACAAGTCTCAGCTAGGGCAAAGTCAAAGGCTCTCTGAAACAACCCCCCAAAACACCACCAACGAAAACGGGATTCGAAGGGAAAACAAACAAACAAACACAAATTCGGTTAGGGCAGTCCCGGCAGGGGAGGGCTCCTGATGTACCTAACAGGCCAACAAAAAACCTCCAAGAGAGAAAGGCTAAGAGAGCTCGACACCACAAGACGTCTTGCAACCACCTTAAAACAACTGACCTCCACCACCTGTCCCTTCCTGGGCTGGTCCAGGGGAGAAGTAGCCTTATAAAGAAAAGGGATCCCGCACAAGCCTGATCACCACTGCAGGGGCCCGGGATAGTCCGGCGAAACCACCAAAGCGTTAGCGTTGCCACGACACACAGCTCCTAAGTATGTATGTATGTATGTATGTATGTATGTATGTATGTATGTATGTATGTATGTATGTATGTATGTATGTATGTGTCTGCTACTGCTACACCTACTGGAGTTGTGTTGCCACCCTCCAAAGATATGTGAAGGGCCCATATGTACGGACCCTGGGGGCCCTATGGGCCTGAGGGCGCCGAAGGCTGAATGTCCGAACAGACAGCAAATTGTTTAATTAGTCTATTATATAGCTAATATCACGGCCCGAACCGGTCGGGGCCATGACCTGACAGGACTAATTCAACCATTAGTTAAGCCCAATAAATCACGAGTAACAAGATTTACTGCCTGAACGTCAGAATGGGGGGGTCAGAATGTTATTTCCCAACAAAATCTGTTAGGAGAGCTTGCCTGCGGTGCCAACAAAAAGCTCCACACGCCAGAGCTCTGCCCGTCCTTACACTGTCAAAAACGCAGCCACGTAGCCAGCCAGCCACCCTCCCAGCCAGCCAGCCAGCCACTCACCCTCCCAGCTCCCCTCCTCTACCTACCCACTCACCCACTCAACGCTCACCTGGGGCAGGAACGCATCGTCAAAATGCACCACGGCATCCAGCACTCCATCCCATCCCCCGCTCTTCGACAACAGCTCCGACTGCCGTACGACACTCTGGTGACGAGATAAGTGGTCAAAGTCGAACACCTGTACGACAGAATGCGGGTGGCGAGGCAAGACAAAAAGGTGCGCCGGCGCCGCCGCCAGGCACGTGTCACGGGCAATGTGCTTGTGGGCAAAAAGGGCACGCTGGCGTACGGGTTGTACGACAAAACACACACGGAAAGACCGTAGGTAAAGTAGAGGAGGGAAAAGGAAGATGGATAAGCTGATGTGATGGGGGGGGAAGAATGGTATAAAGACTGCGAAAGGCGGCAACCGGGGGGAATGGGAAGCGAGCATCCTCCAAGACCTGTAGACACAGCTACATCACAACATCCTGTCAGCTGTTGCCAAACCAGGAAAGCTCCCAGATGACCGAGTGGGGCCCTCCCTGCGAGGGTTTCCTACATCTCTCATTTCATAACTCCTGGTTTATAACTTTTGTTATGTCATATTTGTTATCCTTATCCCTCTAAATAATATCTCACCAAGTCAAAGGGCATGGTCGTATCCGGACCGAGTGCAAGTTGACCGCCCTCCAGTGTAACTTGCTGCTGCTCGTCATAGTGGTTGATGATCTGCGGCGATGATCAGGGACTACAAGTAAGCCAAGTCCATGGGGACCAGCAGCGGCGGCAGCTACAGCAGCAACAAGTACAGTAGCAGCTACAGCAGCAACAAGTACAGTAGCAGCTACAGCAGCAACAAGTACAGCAGCAGCAGCAACAGGAACAAGTACAGCAACAGCAACAAAAGGAACAAGTACAGCAGCAGCAACACAATATGGCACGTTGAGAAACAGGAGAGCAGGAGGAGCAGAAACCACAGGAGTGACGCTGCCAGCAATGACTGAAGAACCATAAACCCCTGAAAGGCTCGCAAGCGACAGCTTCCGCTTCCGCTTAGCTAGGACTGACAGGCAGCTGGCAGGCAGATGATGGGGCCCTTACGTCATGCACGATTACGGTGCGCTTGAGCAGCCGCCCCAACGCCAGGACCTCTTTCAAGCCGGCGACCTGGTTGTTGGGCCCTGCGCGGGTCAGCGGGGTCAGCGGGATCTGGTCAGGTGGCGGTAGGTGGGAGCGAGACAGTGGCGGCAGGTGAACGCGGGAAGGCGGGAGAGAAGGTGAAGCAAATCGGAGGGGCCGCAGCGGACGGAGGGGGGAAACTAAGCATATGGAGCCCAGGCAAATAGGAGACTGGGAAGGGATAGGGATTTGAAAAGCGGAATATCTATGACACATTGTTAGTGATGTCGGGTTGAAATGCCCATGATGTGCTGCCCATAAGGCTAGGGCTCAATGTTCGCTCCAAGCAAGCTTACCCCAAGACAGAATAGGGTAAAGGTAACCCGCGCGCTGCTTAGGAAGCCGCTTTGATGCTTCTGGGCTCTCTACAAACACCAATTTGCTGCGAGGCACCTGCATAAGTCATAGCATGAAGATGACCAATTTGAATGGTTCTGGGCAGCCGAGAAAGTCAGTACATTCGAGCCTCATAAGATTTACCAAATCAACGCTATCTGAGTTGTCATAGAGTTTCCTGGCTTGTACCGGTATTAGCACGCCGTGCGCGAGCAACAGCAACAGGAGGGCTGTCACAGATTGCATCGCGCTGCAGCTCGTGCCGCATTTCAAAGCTAAAGTCCGTATATCTTATTCAAGCTGATCATGGTAACCACCAATTTGGATCACAGACGTCACAACTTTGGCAAGCCAGGCTGGGCTGCCGTTGCGACCAGCGTGTGGTTACGGAGTAAGGTTAATTCTGAATCAATAAGTTAATTTTGAATCAATAAGTCAAACTGCCACACGTGATAGGGAGTAGGCACTTTTATTAGAGCTTTGCAAGTGCGTTAGTAACACTAACGATGCAGCATGAAAAGACGTTGTAACTAGAATGTCATACGCCTTCACTATCATTCCTAGCAGTTTTTTGGTGTCGGGCTTTGTGGTGCGCAGCTGTCCTGCAGCGAATGTTCGCTGTACGGTAGATGTTTTCAGCCCGGCCTAGCCCGGTCAGCGCGCATTTGTTGCGCTCTCGCATACACAACGATACATCTTCACATTCCTCTACCTGTTGTGTTAAAATTGTCGTGGTTGCTAGCCTCGTCTCCTTAATACATGCTCGCCCAGGCTCTTTCTCGCCCTTTGAACTCCATGCGAGACGACGTCCTTACCGTTTTGTGTTATGAGCATTCCACTAACTACAGTAATGACTGACATATCCTTGATTTTTTAAGCAGCCCCTCGCACAAATGTGTCCGGTCGTACTCTGCCGAATAAACGGGACGTACATCGTCCAAAAAGCCAGGAGCGAATTTCACCGCGCGGATGCGCGCGTGCGATTCGCAAAATGCGCCTGTAGAAGTGTATATAAATTTTCTTGGCGGAAAAGGCCGAGGTGTGCCAGCGCGTTGCGCAGGTGGGCATGTTGGCCACAGCCGCACGCGGCATGCAGGCTGGACTATTGCGTGGCTGCTTTGCAGTAACTGAAAGCACCGAAAGCCTACGTCGTAGCTTGCAAGACTGGGCTCGTGAAACTGCCGCGGGAAGAGGAAGCGTCTGGCGAAGAGGCAGTTGTGTGCAAGCAAACGGTCGCGTTTTTGGTAGTGCAACGTATACAGCACCTTGTTCAGAGTAAAGTCAAATTACAAAGTTGCGCAAAGTATAACATACATAAACTTAATTAAACATAAGAACAGATAAGACGTTTAGAGCCTTGTCGGTGACATGGACGCCGCTGTTGGCTTGGAACAGCTATTTGCTGTGCATAGGGATGTGCCCGCGTTAGCCGTGTTGCAACAGCTCAGGATGGATTTCAGCCAGCAACAGCCTCAAGAGCTGCTGCACAACCACCGGGAATGTCTTCAGTTGGGCACGTGTAGTTTTGGTCGGCGGGGTCGAGCATCGTACGCATTGCGCACAGAAACAAAGGTGCAGCGTCTCTGTAACATCGCCAACATATCCGGTACGCGGTGGCAGGCTTGCCGAGCACGAAATGAAGGGGGGGTCGCATCTCACCATTCAACTAAGCATGCATGTGCTCGGTTGAATGCTCGCTAGCGTGCGAGTTTACCCTTATCAGGATGTTTGTTTGCATATCCCTCCAAGCGAGAGGGCTTGGACCTATGCTGATGTTCGTTCCAAGAAGTGAACTGAGGACTGATGCTACGGTGCGCCAAACGTGCGCCAAACGCCCTGTAACTCGCTTACGCTAATCTCACATTCCAATATGCCACTGCACTTTCCTCTCCAGCCTGGCCACATTCTCTTCCTCGCAAACGTACTTGGGCACCTTACAATCCAACACCATACGTGCTTAGGAAACGCGGGCAGCTGCTTCACAAGGAACCCCCTATTTCTAGTCGTCTATTTAAGCAGCCTCTCGCACAAATGTGTCCGGTCGTACTTCGCGAATAAAAGGTCCGTACATGACGCCCCAAGAGCCAGGCGCGAAATTTATCGTGCGGATGCGCGCGTTCAATTCTCAAAATGCGCCTGTAAAAGTGTATGTAATTTTTTCGGCGAAAGGCCGCTCATCAGGGCATGTTGGCCGCAGTCACAAGCGGCATGCATCTCGGACTTTTGGCTGGCTGCTTAGCCTGAGCCGAATAAGATATGAAAAGATATGAAAGCATACGTCGTAGCTTGCAACACTGGGCTCGTGAAACTGCCGCGGGAAGAGGAAGCGTCTGGCGAAGAGGCAGTTGTGTGCAAGCAAACGGTCGCGTTTTTGGTAGTGCAACGTATACAGCACCTTGTTCAGAGTAAAGTCAAATTACAAAGTTGCGCAAAGCATAACATACATAAACTTAATTAAACATAAGAACAGATGAGACGTTTAGAGCCTTGTCGGTGACATGGACGCCGCTGTTGGCTTGGAACAGCTATTTGCTCTGCATAGGGACGTGCCCGCGTTAGCCGTGTTGCAACAGCTCAGGATGGATTTCAGCCAGCAACAGCCTCAAGAGCTGCTGCACAACCACCGGTAATGTCTTCAGTTGGGCACGTGTAGTTTTGGTCGGCGGGGTCGAGCATCGTACGCATTGCGCACAGAAACCAAGGTGCAGCGTCTCTGTAACATCGCCAACATATTCGGTACGCGGTGGCAGGCTTGCCGAGCACGAAATGAAGGGGGGGTCGCATCTCACCATTCAACTAAGCATGCATGTGCTCGGTTGAATGCTCGCTAGCGTGCGAGTTTACCCTTATCAGGATGTTTGTTTGCATATCCCTCCAAGCGAGAGGGCTTGGACCTATGATGATGTTCGTTCCAAGAAGTGAACTGAGGACTGATGCTACGGTGAAAGATATGCACGTAAATTCGCCCGTGCACCAAACACCCTGTAACTCGCTTACGCTAATCTCACATTCCAATATGCCACTGCACTTTCCTCTCCAGCCTGGCCACATTCTCTTCCTCGCAAACGTACTTGGGCACCTTACAATCCAACACCATACGTGCTTTGGAAACGCGGGCAGCTGCTTCACAAGGACCCCCCTATTTTTAAGCAGCCCCTCGCAGAAATGTGAGCGGTCGTACTCTGCCGAATAAACGGGACGTACATCGTCCAAAAAAGCCAGGAGCGAATTTTGCCGCGCGGATGCGCGCTTTCGAGTCGCAAAATGCGCGTGTGTAAGTGTATATAAATTTTCGTGGAGAAAGGACGAGGTGCGCCAGCGCGTTGCGCAGGTGGGCATGTTGGCCACAGCCGCACGCGGCATGCAGGCTGGACTATTGCGTGGCTGCTTTGCAGTAACTGAAAGCACCGAAAGCCAACGTCGTAGCTTGCAACTCTGGGCTCGTGAAACTGCCGCGGGAAGAGGAAGCGTCTGGCGAAGAGGCAGTTGTGTGCAAGCAAACGGTCGCGTTTTTGGTAGTGCAACGTATACAGCACCTTGTTCAGAGTAAAGTCAAATTACAAAGTTGCGCAAAGTATAACATACATAAACTTAATTAAACATAAGAACAGATAAGACGTTTAGAGCCTTGTCGGTGACATGGACGCCGCTGTTGGCTTAGAACAGCTATTTGCTGTGCATAGGGACGTGCCCGCGTTAGCCGTGTTGCAACAGCTCAGGATGGATTTCAGCCAGCAACAGCCTCAAGAGCTGCTGCACAACCACCGGTAATGTCTTCAGTTGGGCACGTGTAGTTTTGGTCGGCGGGGTCGAGCATCGTACGCATTGCGCACAGAAACCAAGGTGCAGCGTCTCTGTAACATCGCCAACATATCCGGTACGCGGTGGCAGGCTTGCCGAGCACGAAATGAAGGGGGGGTCGCATCTCACCATCAACTAAGCATGCATGTGCTCGGTTGAATGCTCGGTAGCGTGCGAGTTTACCCCTATCAGGATGTTTGTTTGCATATCCCTCCAAGCGAGAGGGCTTGGACCTATGCTGATGTTCGTTCCAAAAAGTAAGCTGAGCACTGATGCTACGGTGAAAGGTATGCACGTAAATTCGCCCGTGCGCCAAACGCCCTGTAACCAGCTTAGACTAATCTCACATTCCATTATGCCACTGCACTTTCCTCTCCAGCCTGGCCCCATTCTGTTGCTCGCAAACGTACTTGGGCACCTTACAATCCAACACCATACGGGCTTTAGAAACGCGGGCAGCTGCTTCACAAGGACCCCCCTATTTTTGGGATATTCTGTGTTACAATAAATATTGGCCCAAATGTGTGAAACGTTTAACGTTTACGTTTACAAGCTTCAAGCTTGTACGGTCCAGACGAGCCAAAAGGCTCATGAACCGCCAAACTGGAAACAGGAACTCAAAAAAAGAAATAATGCTAATACCCAACAATATCGGATTGATTAATCTTCAACGTACTGCAACCTGCATTTTCTAATGTCGTCCAAGACGCGCGCTAACCCGCGTTGATCCTTGACGCCCATAATCTCGATCATGCGGTTCCCAGGAGTAACCCCCAGGTCCCAAAGCTTCAAACGGATATTCGCATACGCAGGGCAATCTAGCAGCACATGACATATATCCTTGATATTATTACTTGTGGCGCGTAGGCGGAACAACTCCTGACGTACTATCGCACAGCTGAGTGGCGTAACCATACAATTCGAATTCTTCGTTGCCACTCCTGCCACTCGCGCACATCATCAGCAGTGAGGCTGTAACCAATTTAAAACTCACCATCATCTCGCGGGACGAGGCAGACGGGATCTAGCGATGGAAACGTACCCTAGAGTTCAGGGGCAGTTTACAGTTGTACGAACGTACGTACGAACTTTCACCCTAACATTCGTCCCAGACTCGTGGTAAAGATGGTAAAGCCAGAACCACGACACGTCTTCTGATTAGGTGTCTTTATTAATCCAACATGTTAATTATTGGCAACCCAAAGAAAAATAAGGTCAGTCCGGCTCCCGTGTCGTCTGCTCATCCGCGCGCTCTCCGTTTTAGAAATCTGCGTGCCTGCTGCGACCATACATGCCGGATTTATCTTTGAGGCAAGTATTTGCATGGTTGTACGCAAGGCTCTCTGTTGTTCCGTATGTCTCTGTTCTCTGAAATAAGCCCCACATATGGCGTAAAGGGTTGGAAAAGGTGGGTTTCGTGGGGTTTAAGAGTTCTGTCATCACTTTGAAAGATGCCGTAAAGAACGTTTGTGCACGGAATACCGCGGGGTGCAGAGTACGTATGTATTACGTATGTAATACGTATGTATTACCCTTCATCAGGTGATGGTGTGCTTATGACGGGTTTCACAAACCCTTCATCTCCTGCACCCTGCTGCACCTCATCACTGTCGGCGTCCGTGACACTGACTACAAATAAATAGATTAACTTGTGTGAAATAAATATTATGGCGTTGGATCGATTTGCTTGGGCAATATAGCGACAACTTCTTCCAGCAATGCTCGATTATATGACGCCTCGCCTATGGTCCTGATTGTATAAACGTACATACATACATACATACATACATACATACATACATACATACATACCTGGCCGACCAGGAATGGAGTTGGGCCGCTGTCGACCCGGCAGATTCCGTTGGATGCTGGTGGTGGGTGCGGAACCTGAGCGATCCACTGAGAAGTTGGCTAGGGTGACTGGATGAGGGTGCCCCGAAATACCGGGGAAGGCAGGGTTTCGCAGGGTAGCGGCCACGGGTGAAGATATACCCCCCTGTTTCACACATCATACCTGACCGCAGTGCTGCTAAAATGTTAACAGACGCCCCCAGGTACCTCCGAGCGAGGAGTCCGCGTGCTTCAGGTTTAGGGATTTGCAAACAGCCAAAAGCTTCTCTCCCAGAGTTTGGAAGACTTTAATTGAACGACGGGACATTGAAGATTGTGATGGGGGTCGCAGATGGAGGAGGGTATATAAGAACTTACGGAGGATGTTAAAATTTACAGAGGTTTATAAGAAGTTACGGAGTACATTAGAAATTACGGAGAGGAGCCCGTGACGTTTGCGGAAGGCAGCAGGGGACGGATTGATTAAAGAAATTGCAGAGCAACTCCAAAACATTGTGAATTGATCGACCACCGACAATATATTATATATTCGTGTCCATTACAATTAGTCGAGCCGATTGCAGCAACTATAGGCGTGCCCGTTTGACAAATAAAAAAACGACACTATTATTGTAAATAGCCGCGCGCCGGATTTGCTTAGACCAGTTATGCCGTATGCCGTACACAATGAGCGAGGCCGTACTAAATATATCTTGCAAAGACCGACCGCCGATTGACCGTTCAAGGTCAACTAATGTACAATCTCTATCCAATGAAAGAAAGAAAAAAATTATTATTTTTTTTTATTTTATTATATATATTATTATTATTTATTTTATATATTTACTCTATTATTAGTTGCTATCATATTATACATACACAAAGCTAGCGCCATGCACGCACACATACTAAGCGCAAATGCACAGCCACAAAATTATCAAAATCAGTGCATCCTCCAGCGCACCCCCATCCCGTTCAGCGACATGAGCTTAGGAGATGTAAGCTCTTGCCATCGGCTTCCAAGAAGCAGCTCTAAGAAAACTACCTTAAAGGAATTATCCCTCCAGACATGGCCGTTACTGCACCAGTGCAAACGCATGAGCATATTCCGGCTGGCAGACGAAGTACGGCAGCAAAGCAATCAGATAGACAGACAGACAAAGGACTGCCACCGGGTTGGACCGCCGCCGTATAATTAGGCCCCTCCCCCAGAAGACAAGGACCAAGGCCAAGGCCCCAATCCCCCTTCCCCTTTTTCACACGGACACAAATCGTGCACGGCAAAACACTGTGTGCGACACCCTCATGTATGTGGGTGTGGGTGTGTGGGGGGGAGGAGTGCGCTATTTCCTGCCCAGGGCGGAGAAAAGCACAACCGCCGACATGCGTGAACTCCAAAAGCACCGACATGTGCCTGAAGGATCAGAGATCTGTAAGGTGTGCAACCCTAAGGTCTGCAAACAGTGGGAGTTAAGACGTGTCAGGCTAGACGCGGTTCGCGGGGGAACGAATTCACACTCGGCGCATTCTCCGTACATAGATACACACACGCATAGACGTGTGTAACACGTGTGTGCACAAGTGCATCGGTACACGCGCACATACCCATTGTGTGTATGCCCCGGGGTCTTTGGGCGCGCGGCAGCATCGTCTGCACATCATTGGATGCTTTCTCTCTAAGCATCCACAAAAACTTGGATATGTACGATATCTTTTTGTACGGCATCCTGTCAAGTACTTAACGATATCGCTAAGTCGTATAACACGCGAAGGATACATACATACATACATACTTTTGTTTGAGGGCCTTGGTATCCACCGCGCCCTCTTTTTCCTCTTGACCAAAACTCGGCAACACCCTCGGGGGGGGGGGGATGCACGCCCTCGGTCGAGCTGGAGGGGATAGTGGCCCCTCACGCCCCTCTCCCCCCACAAGTAGGAGAGCGCTTCGGCGGTCGCTCATTCCCGTTTGGGTACGGTTAGGTGCCCCTGGCCAGTGTCAGGCCCGGATCGATATGTAACAAATACATACGTATATACACACATACATATATACATACATACATGCAACACGTACAAAACAAGAAGACGCACTCATGTCATGACGTACTCATATCGTCATTTGCCTTCATGGGGCCCGGGGAACAAAATTTAATTTGATATTTTCCGAAACCCAAAACCATATTCCCCCCCGTCCATCTCGCTCCGCCTTTTCCCCCTGCTGCTGCTACTGCCATTGTGTTGTTGCTGCCTCCTGCTGCTGCTACTGCCACCTCTAGCCTAAGGACCATATTCCTGCCAGGTATGCCCCCCCCCGTGCAACATCGTTACAATTACACATACAGCCCGTGGGCCGCACGCGCTATTTATGTCATCTACATCCGGCGCCATCGCCCACAACTCATGCCTTACGTCATCCTGTAATTACACGCCATTCTGTAATATAAGACATCAGCGCGTAAAACGCTGCCACGATACACACACATACATACATACGTATATACATACATGTATATATTATATGTAACATCATTCCGCTACCATAAGTCGCTTTTTCCGTACTGTATTGTACTGTATTGTACTGCATCGTCACAAAAGAGTTGGCCTTCGTGCGCTACACCTGTCTACTTCCACCTCTTGCGTGATGGTGGGTCGGCAAAGACATCCCCCCATACAGAGTCTTATGTTATGTCGAGCTTCGGGGTGAGCTGTATGTATGTATGTATGCATTACTGTTAAGGGTGTTCAAAAGGTTTCCGTCCTAGGTTTCAATGCAGTGCAGTACAGTGTACGGCAGTCCGTTATGGCCCCCCATGGCCCTCAACCACCCTACTGCTGCTGGGGGTTATTTATTCCCTTGGGAGTCTACAGCCAGGTACGGCTCTTCTTGCCGTAATACCTAGTAGTACTACTACTGCTACTACTGCTACTACGGCTACTGCTACCTGTAAAGCTTTGAAGCTGCCGAGTGTATGTTGCCTAATAAGGACTTCTCCAAGCGTGCGTCATATGATATCGCTACTTTGTGCCGTCGTCCACTACGTCACCCGCCATTACGTCACTTCCGTACATCACCACATTACGTCATCCCGCCATCCCCGCAACCGCATCACGGAATCCGCCATGACGTCATCATATCACATCATTACCCATCCTGCAATCAAAGCGGCATTACGTCATCTGCCACGGCGTCAGGAGCGGTTAACATAAAAGTCAAGCCATTGCGGTACCTCCAACCTCCAACCGAAAAAAACCGCCTAGCTTTTATCCCTGGCCATGCAGTAGCACCGACGGCCACGCCAGCCCACCAGCACCCTCCGGCAGTCGGCTGCTACTCCCACCGCCGACGCCGGCGCCGCCAGAGGCGGCAGCTGTAGCAACAGGAGCAGTAAACTTAGTGGCAGTAGCAGCTGTGCTGATGGCTGTTGCGGCTCCCTGTACCGCCCCTGTTTGCACCGCGGTACCGCCCGGTAGTAGAGAAGACGCGCCGGTAACGACGCCTGCAGCAGCAGCAGCAGCAGCAGCGGATGCGAGAGCCTCTGGAACTAATGGTACGGCATTGCTGCTACTGCCGCTGCCGCCGCCTGCGGCGGCAGTAGCAGGCGGGTGCTGCTGCAGCGTGCTCCATGAGCCGTTCCAGAAGCCGTTTCCGTGAGCCATCAAGGCTGGAAGGTGCGGCGAAGACGGCCCACCGGCGGTGCCGGCTGCCGCCGCGCTGGCGGCAGTAGCAGCCTGCACTGCCGCCAGCACTGCCGTGTGTAAGTGGGTTTGGGCGTCTTGGGAATTGCCGTGGCACTGGCCCGGGTGGTTGACGTTCGCGGACTGGATTTGTTGCCAGTAAGGAGAAAGCCGAGCCGGCAAGGCGCCTGTCCGCCCAGCTACTGCTGCTGCTACTGCTGTTGCTGCAGCGGCGCTGATTTTCCCTTCGCCGCCGCAGCCAAATGACAGCTCTGACTCGGTGTGCTGCTGCTGCTGCTGCTGCTGGTAATGCTGTTGCGGCATATGCTGTTGCTGCTGCATATGCTGTTGCTGCTGCGGGTATGGCTGCATTTCCTGCTGTTGGTGTTGCAGCTGTGGTTGCATTGCATGCTGGAGGAATTGCTGTTTCTGTATGTAGTTGAGGTAGGCTGAGGCGTACATAAGCTGAGGATGCGGCGCTTGCTGCTGCTGCACTTGCTGCTGCTGTTGCACTTGCTGCTGCTGCTGTTGTTGCTGCTGCTGTTGTTGCTGCTCCTGCTGCTGCACTTGCTGCTGCTGTTGCACTTGCTGCTGCTGTTGCACTTGCTGCTGCTGTTGTTGCTGCTCCTGCTGTTGCTGTTGTTGTTGCTGCTCCTGCTGTTGCACCGGCAGAGCATGAAAGACGTGTTGTTGCGGCTGCTGCTGCTGCTGTTGGTACTGCTGCTGCTGCTGCTGTTGCTGCTGACGATCCTGATGTTGCTGTCGCGTCGGAGTCGGCGGCGGTAACAGCTGCTGCAGCTGCGGCGGCGCAGATGGTTGCGCTGGCGGGGGCGGGGCCGTGTTGGACGTGAGCTGACTGTCAATCCCTTGGTTCCGGAGCCCCTGATCCTGGCTTTGAACCCGGTTTTGAAACTGATTTTGGATCTGATTCTGAATCTGGATCTGGATCTGCCGTGCTGTAAAGATCCCGCCAGGTGACCCTTCATCGCTACCTAACATACCGCCGCCGCCGCCGCCGCTGCTGCTGCTGCTTCCCAAGTGTACGGCACGAAAGAGGCCAACTCCACTACCGCTACCGCCACCTCCGTTGCCTTTCGTTGTTAGCAGCAAAGGGGCTGTGGCGGCGTTGGGTAACGCCGGTACCGCCGCTGCCGCTGCCGCTGACGGCAGCACCGCCGCCTCTGACGGCAGCACCGCCGCCTCTGCCGTTGCCGCCGCCGCGTGAAACGTTTGCAGCAAGTCCTGCTGTTCCACGGAGGAGCAGTTGGTGTTCCTGGACATTACGCCTGACAGCGGTGTCATGTCGCTCAAACTGAGCCGTTGCCGCTTTGCGTCTGGCTGGACGGCGGCGGGGGCGGATACCAGGCTGCTGCCTTTCCCTGACAGCATTGGCGTCGGCGCTGCCACCGCTGCCCCCGCCGCTGCTTCAGCTGGTGCGGGGACCCTTCCAGCCTGGTAATGCTCTGGGAGGTCTGTTGGCTGTAGCTCCACCGGCAGCTGCAGCTGCTGCTGTTGCTGCTGCATCGGTGGCGGCGGCGGCAATAACGAGGACGGCTGCTGGCGCCGCTGATACTGCTGTTGCGAGTGATGCAAGGGAGGGGGTTGTAGTTGCGGTTGTTGTTGCTGCTGCTGGCAATGCGGCTGTAGCAGCAATAGCTGCTCGTTCGGGGCTACAGTCGTCCTCCACCCCGCTCCTTCTCCCCCGATAACTTGCTGCGGCGGCGGCGGCGGCGGTGGCTGCAGCGTCGTCGGCGTCGGCGACAGCGAGTATAGCAGGGCGGGGCCAGACTCTTGCCCCTGTTCGGCCGTACCGCCGGCGTCGACGGTCGTGGCCGCCGCTGTCGTGGCCGTACCGCTGGGCGGCGGGTGCACCTTGATGGCGCCATCTCCCAAGCCCAAGAACGGAGCCCCTGAAGCCCCTGCCGTGGCGGCGGCGGCGGCGGCGGCAACGGCGGCGGCAGCTGCCGTCGGCGTTGACATTGGGCTGTAGCCGTGAAGCGGCAGCAAAGGCAGTGACGGAGGCGCCGGCCCCAGAAAGAGAGTGTACGAGGTTGTAGCCGTACCCGTACCCGGTTGAGCAATGGGGAAGGTCTGCGGCAGGCCGCCGCCGCCGTCCGGA